CATCTCCCCACATCTCCCCCATCCGGGCCCCAGGGACCGTCTCGGAGCTCAAGGCGGCCTACTCCTCGGACGCCCTCCCCCTCCTCCTGCAGCTGGCTAGCGGCGAGCATGCCGCGCACGCGCCGGACGGGGCGGGCGAGGGGGGGAGAAGCCTCGACCTCGCTACCTCGGCGGCGGCGGCGTCGGCGGGCGGCGGCGGCGCCGCCTCGGCCTCACAGCGCGTCGCCCTGGCTGCCCCCCACCCCGCCGACGGAGAAGGGTCCCCGGTGCGCCACAGCGGCGCGCACGGCGGTCCCGCCGCCGCGACCGGCCCCGCGGAAGGGGCTTTGCTCGCCGCGCTGCACAAGTACTACCTGCAGGCCCGGATGCTCGTCGGCGCGTGGCTGCGCGCCGCTGCGCGCCGCGGCCGGGCGCGCGCGCGCGTGTCGCTGCTCTCGCTGCACACCTCCGCCAGCACCTCCGCCCGCTCCTGCTCCCGCTCGTGCCGCCGGCAGTGGCGACGAGGGGCGCGGTGGCCGCAGGCGGCGACCTGGCCGCGCGCCGCCGCGCTCGCCCGCGTGTGGATGCTGCCGCTGCTCGCGCTGCTCGCCGGCTGCTGCTCGAGCCACCTTGTGGGCATGCTCGCCTTGCTGCTCGACGGCACGGTGCGAGGCCCGCCGCCCGACGGGTCGCACCCCTTCTCCCCCGGCCCCCCGCCGGCGTGCCGCTCGTACCCACCGGCGGCGGGACGCACCCCGCTCCCGCTCGGGATCCCTTCCACCCTGACAGAGTTGGAGTAGCTCTCCGCGGGCCGCTGTGCGAACATGAAAAGTCAAACCCCAACACGTGTGTATATGCTTCGCGGGTCGCGGCCCACCTCAGCTGTTTCAGCTCCACAAACCAGGTTACTCGTCGTGAAGAAAGAATGGACGAGTCGATCGAGAAAAGAGAATTTTACAAACAAATTTTACAAAGAAAAGAGAAAGTTCATGCCTTCCGTCGTCCCTGGGTATCGCAGCTGTGTCAGGGCTCAGGGGCCCACCCCGCCACCAAGGAAATAGACGGCGGGCGCTTTCGGCATTTTCGGCATACCTTTTGCGTCCACGCCGCCCGTCGACTCGTCGTAAGTTTGCCCGGTCCCAACCAGTCGCGCAGATCGACACATACTCCACAGCGCCAACCGGTCCGCCCCCCGCCAAATGGCCAGCATAGCTCCCGCACCACAGCTACAAGCGACCGCCCGCGCGCCAGTGGTCGGCTCACTCCTACCCGGGTACTTTGGATTGCATCTGGTCGCTACTCGCTGCTTCGCGCCCTCCGCTGCTGCCCCAGCAGCCACCCAGAGCAGCCACTTAGCCGGCCTCCATTGCACCGTACTAGTACTGACCCCAGACCCACACTTCCCAACTTTGACCCCCGCTCCTCCCGCCCTCGCCGTGCAGGTTGCAGGGCCTTGTCAAGGATGGGCGGTACGCTCCCGTGTATCCGCAGAGCCTCGTATCGCCCCTCACCGCACCATTGTCACCTCCCTACGCAGGTGTCTGGTTTCTTCTTGCATGCTTTGCAGCTGGTGCACTGAAGGGTACCGGCGCGCACCCGGTGCGCCCTCCATCGCAGTAGCAGCAGCAGCGTGTAACGCTTCATCGCAGTAGCAGCAGTAGCAGCAGCAAGAGCGTTGGTAGCAGCGTGGTGGCGCTAACGCTCGCGCCTGCACACAGATCGTCACGAACACGCTCGATACCCCCAGTCTGGAAGAGGACCATCCGACAGCGAGGGGCACGGCATTCGCCCACTTACCAGGCTACGAAGGACGACAGCCGTTCACATCCAACCTTCTTGGCGGATCGGCCTCGGATGGCGGTGTCTGCAGCCGTGGATGCGATGAGGAATCGTGCTTTTGCTTGTATGTTCAGGGAAGATGTGCATATCTAACCTGCATCAAGTGCCTTTCTGGCTGGCGTCTCGTGCAAGGGGTGGCGACACCGTATGGCCCGCAAGGGTACTGCGAACCGCTTGCATCGCCCCCGTCCGCATCGCCGCCTTCGACGCCCCCGTCGTCTTGCTGTGGAGGGCCAACGTGGACCATGCCGGGCCAAAAGTGCTGTGGTGACGTGTGTAACGGAGGCTGCACTACGGATGGGTGCGGCGGCCTCATTACCAGAGAAAACGGTTGCCCTGGCGGCTACGGTGATGGCCCCGAGGTCTGCCCCACGGATTTCAAGTTCCCGTCATTACACTTTCAGGGTCAGGTGTGCTACAATACTCAGGCCTTCGCGGAGGCTGGCACGGGGCCATGCGGCTCTTGGTGCACGCGAGACATAAGGGTTGGCGACGGATGTAGTGGCAGCAACGTACAGCGCCTCTGCAATAACGCAGCAACGTCGCCGCCTCTGCCCTCGTTGCCGCCGTCGCCGCCCTCATTGCCGCCGTCGCCGCCTCCACCCTTTGCGCGCACTAAACCAGTGCGCTCATGCTTGGCGAGAACCAATGCAGCGATGGACATCTCGCTACAGGCGCTCGCGGGGTCGTGAGTGGGGGTCCCCACTGCTGCCCCTCTGACTATACATTTGTCTGTGGTGATGCCTTTCCCTGAGAACGCACACAACGCCTCGTGTGTAATGCCCTGTGTTCCGCGAGTGCGTGTGCCCCGTCGTCCATGCTAGGACGTGTGTAACACTGACTGACTGACTGACTGGGTGGTATAAGTGACGGCCTTCTGGGTGCTGTAGATGACGGTGCCTTTCGCGCCTTCAAACGGAAACATCTCAGAGGGGAGCACCTCCCACCACCTCCCCCTGGTTCGGTGCACGATACTCGATGCATTTACAGGACCGACACAGGTCTGAGTACTGCAATTGCTCGATATACAGACGCCGAAGGCGTCAGCGTCGATATGAAGCCGTGCCATTTCGTATTACTGAACCCGGCCGAGACTGAACCCAATCTAAGGATTTATATGTCGAAGGGGGCGGCACTTATCCATGAATGCAAACGTGTCTACACAAACCAAGATGGGGTCGAGGCTCCTTGGTCTTGGATCTACACGGAAACCAGGATTGCAAAGATTTGCATAAATGGACTTACCGGGCACTTGTATCAGAGCCATGAATGTGACCAGTACCTGTCCGAGTTCCGTCCCGATGCGCCGCCATCATCGGCGCCCCCGACTTTCGGTTGTAAAGCAGGTTCGGGCCAGGTTGTATGGAATGGTGAAACACCATTCGGAAACCGCCGTACATGCGTGAAATGTGGGGGAGGAGAATGGGCAGAGGCATTGCTATCACGCCTTGCGACAGCCTGTCGGCGCTGCTGACCGTGCCATGCTGCACAATTGATCACCCGCATAGCTCGCGGCCTTAGTATCCACCATTCAGTGACGACCTGATCGTACGGCCAGTAGGAAGGTGTCCTTCCAGCTGCATGCACGCTTCTGACGCAATGCGCGTCACAAACTGCCTCGGCGACTGGCTGCTGGCACTCTCGAGGCTATGCCTACACAGCCTCGCGCGCATGGGCAGTCAAGAGGGACCATGCACTTTCTCAGGACAGCGCCAGTGCCTCTCCCTTGGACCGGCAAACGTGGTGGTCTCGTGTCACCAATGTGGGACCAGTGCGGCATCGCGCCATCAACAGCTCTGAACTGCGCCTCACCACTGACCGGGAAGGCCGCCAAGTGGGCCAGCACCGGTCACACATTGTGGCAGCAGTCAGCAGTTGTCTGGTAGCTAGAGCAGCAGCGTCAGGGTCGCAGGGTCGGATCATGTCAAGCCTCTCGCCCGGCCGGCCGCGTGCAGACGTCGGCCTGTCTGCTGTCTGGAGTGATCTGTCGGCGGTCAGTACGACCGATCAGGTCGGAGTTTTCTGATGGTTGGAGGGTCTATCTGTATGTACTCCTCGAGATCTCTCCAAATCTGCCCTCTAATCAACCGTAATCATTCGGGAAGTTGGTGCTAACGGAGACTAACGGAGCCGGAGCCCCGTTTCCGCAGCAGTGCGGCGCGGCGCACGGGCTCGTTGTGCGAGTATATGGGCCACGATGTCTCAAATATGAGGGGTTTTGACTCCTACCAGCTCCTGACGCTATCCCTGGCAGCTCTAATGGCCAGGATCAGTAGTGTTGTGATAGAGGGTGCCCATACTAGCGCAGGAGCTACCACACTCGCCCGGACCGTCCCCTTCTGGGGCCGGTTCCGCAGCCCGCGAGAGCCGACCGCGGGGCTGTGCCGCGGGTGCCTACTGCCGAGTGCCACAAACACTGCGCCGTCCCGCCATCACCTACAGGCTGTCTTGTGTGATGGTTGGGATGTCCAAACGCCACCATCTTGGCTCTTGCGACCTCAAACCCGCGAGCTGTATGGGTGGTCCTGACGTCGACAGACGCCCGATGACCACGGTGAAGCTGAGCCGGAACGAGTCGACAAGTCTCGTCTGAGCCCGTGGCGGTCGCCGGCTGAGTCGCCGTACACGGGCCGGTACCTCAGGCGTCACCTCCGCAGCCTCAGGTCTCAAACTCCATCACCTCCGCCGGGACGCCTTCGATGGCACGCTCGGCGGCGACTTTGTGGCAGCCCCACAGCGAGCGCGGCGTCGAGCCTACTCGGTCTGGTCGGTCGGCCGCACTCCCTGGGTGCCAGGGAGTGCGGCCGACACGCGAGCGGTGCTTCCTGGCAGCGCGCGCCAGCTGTGGGGCTGCCACAAACTCGAGACACGCTTTTTGGGACATTTTCGACGCTTTTGGCCCATATACTCGCACAACATGCCCACGGTGCCTCCGGGGGCCCCCGCCTCCCCCCAGAGCATGTGGTTGCGCATGTGAGGGACCCGCACAAACAGTATAAGCTACAAAACCAATAAGACAGGAGGTCCGGGGCAGTTGTTTGTTCGTTGTGGTCCAAAGCGCAGGGCGGCGGCGAAAGAGAGGTGCGTGCCCCGAGTGTGCGGCGGGTTGTCACATGACCCACTCCGACGCCGCGGCGTGGGAGAGCGGCTGGTTGAGCGCAGCTGCAGAAGTACCCTCTCTCTTCAGTCGGAGATGGGTCGACCGGTGCGCTCCCGCGAGTTGCCCGCCTCCGCTCTACTTGTACTTGTTCTTGGCCAGCGCGTACAGCAGCGCGCCCGCGACGGTTATCGCCGACCCCGCGGCGCCGAGCGGCGTGATCGTGGTCTTGAAGACGAGGATCGAAGCGAGGATGATGACGACGCGCTTGACGGTGTTTGTGACGGCGTGGGTGACGGGCGCAACCTCGGCGAGCGCGAGGAAGGCCACCTGTGGGGGAGATGTGGGGGAGATGTGGGGGAGATGTGGGGGAGATGTGGGGGAGATGTGGGGGAGATGTGCATGCCCTCGTGGTAGTCAACCACCACTGTGAGGGAGTCCGCTCCGCTCCGCGCATGCAGCCCTACCCCCCCCCCCCCCCCTGGCCTCGGCCCACGCCCGCCGCTAGGGCTGCCAGGGGAAGGGTACCTCGTTGTAGATGTAGTAGAGGAAGCCCGAGCAGGCGAGCAGCTTGAGCAGGTAGGGCGTCGTGTAGCCGGCGGCGAGCGCGGCCGACCACGCCGCCGAGGCCTGTTCACAGCTACGGGTGTGAAGAGACGCCGTTCACAGTAGAGGGCGGCCGACCACGCCGGCGGCGGCCTAGAAAAAGAAACACACCCGCCTTAAAGAAAGAAACACAGCGCGCGGGCCGACCAGCTGGCGGAGGCCTTGGCTGGGCCTTCGAGGGCGAGTGAGACGGGGAGGATCGCGCAGAAGCCTGCGACGCGCGTGCGCGCGGTCACCGGCGGGCGACGAGGCTCGAGAGGAGGGGGCGGGAGCAAGGGGGGGGAGAGGCGGGCGAGGGATGCGCCAGAGGCGGGAGGAGCAGAGTAGAGCATCACTGCGGAGTGGTGAGCCGCTTGCCGACTAGAGGTGGGTTCGGCTCCATAGGGAGGTAGGGGAAGGTGGGGTGCGCGCGCCGAGGATTGAGAGCACGGCGAACATGTTTGCGGGCGTGAGGTTCTCCCCGAGCGACTTCCCGTCGAGCACCTGCAAGAGGAAGGTTCCGAGAAGGGTCATGGCAGCTGCGAGGGACGCTCCTCCCGCGCCTCCCGCTGTGCACCTTCTTGGAGAGGATGGCCTTGGCGGCGGACGTCACCTGGGCAGGTTCCAAGAAGGTCCCGAGAAGCTTCCGAGAAGGTTCCGAGAAGGTTCGGCCTTGGCGGCGGACGTCACCGCGGAGCCGGTGCCAGCGATGAAGGACATCCACGAGAAGGTGAGCTCCTTGAGCGAGGCGAGACATGGTGAGATATGGTGAGATATGGGGAGATATGGGGAGATATGCTGAGCTCCTTGAGCGAAGCGAGGCTGACGCCGGCGATGATTGGCACCTCGAGGCAGTGGGTTCCGAGAAGGTTCCGAGAAGGCTCCGAGACGGCTCGCGGCTCTCTGGCTCGACAGCCGGGCAACGCGGACCAGGGAGGCGTACACGGGCAGCGGCAGAAAGTCGCGGAAGAAAAGCGCCTACGCCCGGACCATCTCTCGGCTCCGTCCCGGCCCGCGTGCCGGCGGCGGGCAGCGCCGCGGGAGACGCGCGCAGAGATGAGGGCGGACCAGACCGGCTCGGTTGCCTTGAGCACGTGCGTGAAGGAGATCGCGCCCAGGCCGAACGAGATGACGCCGCCGACGTGCGTGCCCGCCAGCAGGATGCCTAGAAACAAGAACTACGCCGCCGTAGAAAAAGAAACACCGAGCGCCGTGCCCGCCAGCAGGATGCCTAAGAAAAAGAGTTATGATGTGGCAAGAGAAGTACGGCCTGCGTGTCGGCCAGCAGGATGCCCGACGGCGCGAGCAGCTTGATCGACTCGAGCGAGATCTTTGGCGTCTTGCGCAGCCCCGTGCTCCAGAGAAGAAACACGTACGGGAAGCCAAAGAAGAGCTGCGGGTTAGGGTTAGGGTTAGGTTAGGGTTAGGGTTAGGGTCAGTGCTCCAGAGAAGAAACACGTACGGGAAGCCAAAGAAGAGCTGCGGGGAGAAGAGACGGCTCTCAGCAGTGCTGAGAGGATTGGGAGCCGAGGAAGAGCGGTGGCGGCGCAGGTGATAGTGGGTGATGGGCTTTCCGTCTGCGTCGGGCGGAGGAGAGAGGCTCTGCCGCGTGTCTGTTTGTACGCGTGTCTTTTTGCGGCCGTGCCTCCCAAGTCGCGGCGGTCCACGGCATCGGAAAGGCCGTCAGCACGAGCTTGTTGCCGATATTGTAGGCCTGAGGGCGCGGCACGAGCGGCATGAGCGCGAACCGGGACCCACCGGCACCGGCGCTGGAACCGGCCGGAGGGCGGCGGCGGGGTGCGGACCGTGTTTAGCGAGTACCAGAGGAAGAAGAGAACGCCGAGCCGGATGGTGCGCTTCAGGGAGGACGGCGCAGGCTCTGGAGGAGAGCAGTACTCGGCGCTTTTGGGGTCGTATGGGTCGCACGTCCCAGGCTCTCGCCCGAGCTGCGCGGCGGCTGAGAATGCGGCACCATCCTCCGCGCTGCCGTCGAGGAGCGCTGGTGGCACGCGAGCGGCCAGCGGGCGGCGCAGCGCTGGCACGGCACCGATGCGATGCGCTGGCGCGTACGCGGCGGAGAAGAGGACTGAAGCTGCCGCCATGAGCCAGGGTCGGGGAGCTTCCCTTCGGCGTCACAGGATGGAATCTCCGGCTGATCCTAGGTGACGCTTTCTTCACCTGTCCCGACGGAGTTTTGCCCCGACCGACGGCGATGGCGGTGTGACCGATCGAGCTACAAGAGGAGCTTGTTCAGCATGATCCGGGAGGGTCGAGCAGTTCCTCACTTCCACACTGGGTGAGCTTCAGACCTCGGGCCTCTCACCCCTTCACCTTCGGCTTGTGTGGATTCGAACCACCGCCGGGATGGAAGCTTCCTGCTTCCATCTGGAGGGGGGGAGGCGGGGATTTCAGCCGGACGGTAAAGTGGTCAAAGCAACTTGAGGCCGCGCTGGTGCCCCACACACCACCCCCCAATCTTCTTACAGCAGCAGCGAGACTGGGCCGTTTCATTGCACCTCAGGCCCGCCTCCCTTGGATCTTGCAAACCTTCCTACATACACACACACATACCCGCTGCAGGGCCCCGCACCCAGGGCCCAGGGACGACGACACGAACCCCGTAAACTTCTCCACACATCTCTCACACAGCACACAGGTGGTGGGGCAAGAGAAAAACGGAAAACGAAAAAGACGCGGCGGCGCTCCAGCTCCCCGGCCCTGGACGTGAGGTTAATGACTGCACTCCAAGTGCTCCAAGTGCTCCGAGCGCGGTGCCGTGAGCGCTCCTCCCTGGTTCCTTCCAACCAGACTGCCCTCCTTTTGAAGCAGGTCTGTGTGCTGTGCACACCGCGGTTGTTCTGTCTTCTGACATCTGAGAAAAAGTAAATGCTATCTGTATATCAGTCTGAGACGAGTCTGCATATTCTTTCGTTGAGTCTACAGCGCATAAATTCCGTAAACTAAAGAAAACGAAACGAAAAACGCACACGCACACGCACACTCTCTATCTCTCTCTCTGAGAAAGAAAAGCACCCCTCGTGTGCATGTAAAATGCTATCTGTATCAGTCTGCAATATCTTTCGTTGAGTCTACACTCAGGACTCAGCGAAGTCCTCGGGAGCAGCAGGGACCCGAGCTCCCGAGGCGCGAGGGACCATATGGGCATATGTGGAAGACGGCTAGTGGTAGTGCTAGTCCCCCCCCGCATCGCGGAGGACGACCCCGGCTAGTCGCCGACCACACCCACAAAGAACCCTGCACAAAGACCGCAAGGCGGGGACCTGTTCCTTTTTACCCATCTCACAGTAGAGGTGTCGTTTTTATTTATTTATAGCGAAGTCACAGCGATTTCAATCGTCACGGCTCACGCCTGTCAGTCTGCATGGAGCGCGAGGTGCGCAAAGTCGCCCTCGAACTCCTCGCGGTCGCGCTGGCGCGCCGCGCCGTCCGGGCCGTAAGAGCCGAGCCTGGTCTGGGCCCGCTCTAGCCAGCCGTAGAGGAGGGGGCGGCAGCGCTTGTAGGCCAGAGCCCCGTCCACCGCCTCGTACCAGCGCATCTTTGCGGGCGGGAGGCGGCGGACGATGGTGGCGAGTGGGAAGGCGCCGAAGCCGATGGTGGCGGTGGTTGGCACGGTGACGCGGATCAGGGAGGGGCAGCTCTCGAAGGCGTGGCTGTCGATGGAGGTGAGGCCGGCGGGGAAGGTGACGTTGGCGAGGGCCTCGCAGCAGTAGAAGGCGCAGGTGCCGATGGAGGTGAGGCTGGCGGGGAGGGTGATGGAAACGAGGGAGGAGCAACCGGAGAAGGCGCAGATGCCGATGGAGGTGAGGCCGGCGGGGAAGGCGGCGGTGGTGAGGGCGGAGCAGTCGCGGAAGGCTTGCTCGCCGATGGAGGTAAGGCTGGCAGGGAGGTCGATAGAGACGAGCGAGGAGCAGAAGGCGAAGGCGCGTTCGCCGATGGAGGCGAGGCTGCGCGGGAAGGCGACCGAGACGAGAGAGGCGCGGTGCTGGAACGCCCGGTCCGGCAGGTGCGTCATGCCTTCGGGCAGCACCGCGTGCCCGTCGGCGACGACGACCTGCCAGCCACCCACCTCCAAGGTCTCGGAGCCGGGAGGCGGCGCGGCGTTGCTTGGCGGCGCAGAAGGCGTCGAGGCGGGCACCACCATCGTGCGGAAACAAAGTGCGCCGTTGTGCTCGCGCACTTCTTTTTTAGTTTGTTTAAATTCTTTTTAGCAAAAAATCTTTTTTCTCTTTGAGCTTAGCCTTCGATGTTATGAAACAACGCAAGGCGGAGATGGCATATCGCTCTCGGGCCCACAGACATCCCTCACACCCGCCGTTCGAAGAGAGAGAGAGAGAGAGAGAGAGAGAGAAAACCGCCAATGGCCGTTATCCGTTAGTGCGGACGTCGCCGCGGCTCGCCTCTGCCGCGGCGGCTGCTGCGCGCACGCGGCGGCGCCGCTCTCTCGCGAGACGGCTGGCGACGCGGCTCGCCGCCGACGTACGGTGCGCTCGTCCGACGGTCCGCAGCGTGGCGTGCGCGGCGCTGAGCGCCGCTCTGCGAGCGCCTCTGCGCCTGCACTGCCTGTCTCTGTTGTTGCTGGTGGTGGTGGTGCTGCTGCTGCTGGTGCCGATGCTGCTGCTGGCGCGGCGCGGCTGTGCGACTGGGCTCGACGCGCGCGTCGCGAGCGTCTGACGCGGCGGGCGGCGTCGGGCAGGTGCGCTTCTCTCTCGGGTGGTGGTGGTGGTGCTGCTGCTGCTGCTGGTGGTGCAGATGCTGCTGCTGGTGCGGCGCGGCTCTCCGACGCGACTCGATGCGCGCGTCGCGGCTATCTGACGCGGCGGGCGGCGTCGCGGGCGGCAGCGGTGGCGGCTCGCGGGTGGAGGTGGAGGCTGGTGGCTGTGGTGGACTTTGAGTTTATTTCATGGTCGTGTACGGGGACCGGGGGGTCAACCGGGAGGCAGGGGGTTCAACCAGGCGACGGAGGACCGTGGGCCATCGCGGGGACCAGCCCGTCCGGAGGACGCACTGGGTAGATCCGGATGGTCTCACCCGGTGGGAGGCACCGAGGCGTCTGAGACGCTCAGCTCTACCTTAAGCTCCTGAGGGGCGCGTGGTTGTAACCACGTAGTAGGACTACAGCCCACCACAGACACCCTCCCCCACTCCTCACGTGTGTTCACACCCTCACCCTCTCCTCTCTCCTCTCTCTCTCTCTCTCTCTCCTCTCTCTCCTCTTGTCTGTGCTGTCTGCCTGAATCAGGCACTCAATCTGCCGATGCGTGATTGTGTGTGGGCTGCTCCGAGGGGGCCCTCTGTGCGATCCGACGGGTAGGGGGGCTGTGCCCGGGCGGTGTCCGGTGTGGAGTCCCCTTCTGATCCCGCCTGGGATGTTGGGTGTGAGGTTGTGGCGGCTTCGATCCCAAGGGGGGGAGCTGATCCCACTCAATAACCAACTCTCAGGGGCAGTAGGTGGGCGAGCTTCAGGCACGCTCATCTCGATCGTCAAGACGTTGCTACGCGCGGTCTTCCGCGGGGGGAGCTGCGTCGACGGGTGCGGGACCGCGGCGCAGCCAGTGCCGCGGCGAGGCTTCCGGCTGTTTGCGGCGGGCGGCTTGCTGCTCGCTGCGATGGCGAAAAACTCGTCTCGCCACACGCCAAGGGCTTATGCTCTGGCGAGACGTGAGGCGCATGCGCCCAGGAGGGGAGGGGGCATGTGTAACGACACTGCTAGGGATGCCTTTCGGGGCCCAGAGATAAAACTTCTGTGATGCCATGCGTGACCTAGTAGTGTCCCCAGCTATGGGCGTGTCCACGTTGGAGCCAGGTGTGGTGTGGGCGCGAGAATAGCTCCGCCGTTCATGGAGGCAACCGATGCGAGTCGACTGGTGTGTGTCGTCGTGGTTTCGTATCAAGAATTCTCTCTCTCTCCGCCGTTCGAATCGTCCTTCGCGGAGCGAACGCGGCGACACGCGTGCGCACGTCGCGCGCGTGTGCGCCTGCGACAAGACGAGAAGAGAGGAGAAGTAGACGGTTGATGTTTTTGCTGCCGCGGCCGCGCCGCGCGCTCGCGTCTGTTTTGGCGCCGCCGACGCGACGCGCCCGCCGCGTGAGATGGCGCCGCCGCGGAGTCGGCGCCGCGATCAACCGCGCGCCAGCGGCGAGCGGCGCAGCGCGGCCACCATGCGGCGCGACGTGCGCGCCGTCGATTTCTCTTTTCCCCGGCGCGAGAAGGTGCCGCCCCCGCCCCTGCAACACAACACGCCACGCACCTGATACCCCCCTCTCCCGGCGATGCCATCCGTGCCGCGGCGCCACTCATGCGCCGCGGCCTCGGCGCACCGCCGCACATCGAGTGCCGCCCTCGCCCGAGAACTGTCAACGACTTATTCGCGGCCACGGTCCTCGGACCCGTGGCTGCGGTCGGGCTGTGGAGCCCTGATCTTGGCCGCGCAGCATCTGGGGAGAGCCCCGGCGGGGCGGCCGGCACGCCACTACACTTCCGCGCGCCGCGAGCGTGGGCGCGGCTTCAACGGCGTGAGACACGACTCCTCCACCACCACCACCACACTGCGCAGAGTGCGCCGCCCCGCCGAGCGCGCAGCGCAGCGACGCCCGCCGCCCTCGCCCGCAGGTCCTCGGCGTCCGGAGCGACTCACCCTTCCAACGTCGCTCTCCCCTCACGAGCCGCTGCTGCCGGTCGGAGGCGCGCGCACCGCGCCTTGCACTTTTGATGCCGTGGGGCTCCTGCCTTCTGAACGTGGAGTCGCGAGGGCTGCCCCCCCCCTCTACCTTCCCTTCCCCTACCTTAGGCGCGGCGCCCCCGCCCGGAGTGCGGGCCTTTGAGGCGCGAGAGCCTAGAAGCGGAAGATCTCCCCATATCCCCCCCTGTATCTCCCCGTATCTGGCAGCACGGAGCCTAGAAGCGGAAGACGTGTTCATGTCTTCCAAAACTAGCGCTCGAGCGGACACGTCTTCAGCTGTGTTCCGCTGTTTCACTGTGTTCGCAGCCCCTCGTACTCACGCGGTGCTCTGGACACACACACACACGCAGGCGCGAGACTCGCTGTCGCAGCCGCCCGCCGAGATTACCCGAGATTACCCGAGATTAGGCGCGAGACTCGCTGTCGCAGCCGCCCGCCGCCGCCGCCGCCGCGGGCTGCTGCTGCTGCCTGCTCTCGGCGGCCGGCGTGCTCTGCCTCGCGGGCAGCGGCATGACGTCGCACTTTGCGCGCGCTTTTGCAGTCTCGCTCGGCGCCGGCACGCATCCAGCCGAGAGGGTGGAGAGAGGGGCAGCCGAGGGGGTGGAGAGAGAGCGGCATGCATCCTCCCCTCCCCCACGGTACCCGAACCCACCTTCCCCTACCCACACGGTACCCGAACCCACCCTCCCCTCCCCCACGGTTACCCAGACCCACCCTCCCCTACCCCCCACGGTACCCGAACCCACCCTTCGCAGGTATGTCCACCGGGATCGGCGCCTGCCTCGTCTGCCTCACCCCCTCGCTCAACCGCTCGCTGCTGGCCTGCACGCTCTCCTTCTCCGCCGGGGTGATGATCTACGTCTCCCTCGTCGAGGCGAGCTGCGGCGATGCCACTCACTCGTACTCAGTGCCTATTCTCGTACTCAGTGCCTCCTCAGTGCCTATTCCTTTGATCCCGGGGTGAGGATCTACGTCCCCCTCGTCGAGAGGGATGGGGAGGTGTGCTGCCTCTTCCGAGCCGCCCTCGCACCCCCCCCTCTCTCTGCAGGTGATTGCCGTCTCGAGCGAGTACTTTGCCAAATCGCGCTCCGAGGCCTCCGCCGCCGCCCTCGCCACCCTCTCCTTCTTCGCGGGCGCCGCGCTGATGGCACTCATCGACAACTGCGTCCACCGCGCCCTCGGCGCCGCCGCCGCCGCCGGAGACGGGCTCGGAGACAACGGCAGCGCTTCTCCCTCGCATTCCCATAGCACACCTATCATGCCGCCGCCCCGAGAGCACACACATGTCGTCTCGTGGCTGCCCTCAAAAGCCCATATAGCGCATGGCTAGCTGCCCTCACAGCGCGCACTCCATCGCCTGCGCCCAAAGCACACATTGCATGGCTGCCAGCGCGGGGGCGGGAGGGAGGCTGGTCGGCGGCAGCGCCTTGCCTCACCCGCGGGGCCGCGTCCTCCCCACATCTCCCCATATCTCCCCCATATCTCCCCCATATCTCCCCATATCTCCCCCTTATCTCCCCCATATCTCCCCCATATCTCCCTTGCCTGCAGGGGAGCACGGCGACGAGGAGTTGGTGGGGGGCCGGCTCCGCCCGCTCCACCCGCCGGACGACCACGACGAGGAGGCGGCCGCGATCTACCCTACCTCCAGAGTACCGAACCCAGTGTGGGTTCAGTCTCGTGGGTGGTGCGGTAGGCGGCGGCCATCGAGGCGGTCGGCCGACGGCTCGCCGGGGATGCGTCGCGCGCCGAGCGGAAGCGGCTGCTCGCGATGGCGGTGACACTTCCTAGACACTTCCTAGCCACTTCCTAGCCACTTCCTATGAACAGGCTGCTCGCGATGGCGGTGGGGCGCCTCCTACCGCACCACCCACGGGAGGGAACCCACACTGGATTCGGTACTCTGGAGGTGCGGTAGGTGGTCATCTCCGCCGCCATCGCGCTGCACAACATCCCGGAGGGCATGGCAACCCTCTCGCACGCCCCTCCTCCCACCATCGCAGCCCCCGACGCCGCCCCCACGCCCTCACCCCCGCCCTTAAGACCCGCCCTCACCCCCGCCCTCGCCGCCTCCACCGCCGCAGCCGCCCTCCCCACCGCGCACCCCCGCCCCTTGTGTGCGCAGGCAACCTACGTCGCCTCCTTCCACTCCGTCTCCTCGGGGTTGCCCCTCGCCGCCGCCATCGCCGTGCACAACATCCCGGAGGGGCGCGTGACACCACACCACCCACGGGACTGCACTGGGTTCGATACCATCGGGGGTATGGTACTAGGCTCGCCGTCGCGATGCCCGTCTACCACGCGACCGGCTCCCGCGCCCGCGCCGTCGCGCTCGGCAGCTTGTCCGGCATGTCGGAGCCATTCGGCGCGCTGCTCGCCTCGCTGGTCGCAAACGAGCACTCGTCCACCGGCGCCTTTGGCGGCATGTTCGGCCTGACGGCAGGCATGATGACCTACGTCTGCCTGTCGGAGCTCCTCCCCTCCGCGTACGCGGAGCGAGGCGTGCCGCGCAGCCGCGTCGTGGCCGCCTTCTTCGCCGGGGCCGCCGTCATGGCGAGCAGCCTCATCATCGAGAAGTTCGCCACGGCGGCCTTCTCCGGCCCCTCCGGCCCCGGCGGCGAGGCGGCCACATGAGGTTTTCGTTGACGTTGCTGTACCCGGACGCCGGAGCCTGCACTTCTTCACGATCTGAAGCTATGGTATCTTGATCCTGTCTCGCAGTGCCAGTGGGAGTGGTCCTTAGGCCCAAAACGCCTAGAGAGTGGATTCCCTAAAGAGTACAAAAACATTTTGGCTATGATTTGCGAAAGTCCGAAAGATACACTCGGTGTATCTCCTTCGGCGTGTATCTTCGGCGCGTATCTTCATTATACGGGTGTATCTTCCTCGAGTGTTCTTCGAGTGTATCTTCGGTGTATCTTCGCCCGGACACGGCGTGACCCCACCGCCCCTCGTCGCCGGTTTCAATAAAACAAAGAATAAAACAATAAGGCGCTAGGACCTGCGGCCCTAAGTCAACTTTTTGAGAGGATCATTTTGGCTGAGCAGTGAGCTATAAATAACACCCGAGTTCAGGATATGACAAATCTCGTGCTTCAACACACCGAGATACAGTCGAGATATGACCGAGATATTTTTAGAAAGTTATAGCTAAGCCAAAATGATCCTCTCAAAAAGTTGACTTAGGAAGCCGCAGTCCCCAGCGAGCCAGCGTCCCCGAGAGTGCCACCGGCGCTTATTTTTTATTCTTCGTGGCCACGGCACGATTACTCATCACTCGCTCCCCTTCCTCTCTAATATGCCAGGACAAGACGGGCACGGAGCCCGCACTCGAAGGGGCTACTAGCCTCTCTCGACTGAGGCTTTTCTTTTGACTTACGCCGCCCTCCCCCCCCCCCACACACACGTAGAGCTAAGAGCCTGGCGTCGGTGCTAAGCCGTGGCTCGCGCGATCACTGCCCCCGGACGTGATCGTCACTGACCTCAGTCAGGTCAGTCAGCCCGCAAAGAGGACGAGCCCCACATCTCCCCACCCCCCATGCTGAATGCATGCATGTGGTGGTGGTGGTGGTGGTGTGTGTGTGTGTGTGTGTGTGTGTGTGTGTGTGTGTGTGTGTGTGTGTGTGTGTGTGTGTGTGTGTGTGTGTGTGTGTGTGTGTGTGTGTGTGTGTGTGTGTGTGTTGGGGGGGGGTGCGCGCGCCACAGTGCGCGGTGTGACGTGATGAACGTTCGGCATCGCTCTCATGCTGCACGAGCAGGCTCCTCATCATCGGCGCCGTCGACATTGACTTCCAGGCCCTTGGCAACGTCAACGCTGGCAGCTGCTGGCCGCTTCTTGTAGAGGCGATATCCGAGGAAAGTGGCGATGCTGCCCAAAAGAACAGCAACCCCTGCAATGATTGGAAGGACCAACGTCGACGAGTTGGCCGATCCGTCCTCGATGCCGACTAGGTCTTCGCCAGAGTTTAGGATGCTGCCACCGTTTGGAGATCCCGGAGGCGAGGGGGTGGGCGTTGGTGTCGACGGCGAAGGCGGTGGGGGCGAAGGCGACGGCGGTGGTGGCTGGTGTGGCGCAGGCGGCAGCAGTGAGGGAGGCGACGGGGGCGGCGACGGCGGCGGGGTTGACGGCGTTACCCACTCGCAGCAATCGCCAAAGGCATTCGAAGTACACTGCTCGTGAGTGTAGCTACTGCAGCCAGAATCCCCGTTGTACCAGTTTTCATCGCAGGGAGCCCCGTCGAGAAATTGGCAGGATCCTGGCGGCGAGGTGGACGGCGGCGGCGGCGAGGGCGGTGGCGGCGGCTAGGAGGAGGGTGGTGCGCGTGAGGGCTACGGCGGTGGGGGCGACGGCGACGGCGGTGGGGGCGACGGACAGTGTGGCGGTGGGTGCTAGGCCGACTGCGGTGGGGACGGGGGCGACGGCGGTGGGTGCGACGGCGACGGCGGTGGGGGCGACGGCAAGGGCGGTGGGGGCGAGGGCGACGGCGGTGGGGGCGAGGGCGACGGCGGTGGGGGCGACGGCGACGGCGGTGGGGGCGACGGCGACGGCGGTGGGGGCAAGGGCGAGGGTGGTGGGGGCGTGGGTGACGGCAGCAATGGCAGCGCCGTACAAGCTTCAACGATCTCGATCTCGGAGAGGTGAGTCGTACAGTCCCCTGGATGCGGTCTTTGGTGGGTTGTACAGCCATCAAAGAGGAATCGCCAATTCTTGGCGTACTTCAAGTCCGCCAACGTGAGTGAGACAATGCCAGACTGGAGAGAGTCGATGCTGTAACTGGTGACCCAACGAGAACCATCATGATACTGTATCTTCAGGTGCTGAATATCATAGCCGTCGAAGCAGGTGCCAGTGGCGTACGACTGTCCACTGTGGATGCAATGGATTTTGATGCGCTTGATGGCTGTGCCGACACCAAAGTTCACCTCCATGCCTCCAGGCTTGCCGGTCTCAGCGCGATACGTCGCGCCGTCAGTGCCCCACACACCAAAAACTCCATCGAACATATCATCGCAGTTGCGAGAGCAGGAAAGGGCGACGTAGCTGACAGGTTCCGATGCCTTGATGGAGATTTCATCTATGTCAGTAGCCGTTCCATCGAAAGAGAAGTCGCTCGGGCCAGCCGTAACTCCACATTGCAGCGGCGGCGGTGGCGAGGGCGAGGGCGGCGGGGGCGAGGGGAAGGGCGGCGGTGGCGAGGGTAAGGGCGGTGGTGGAGAGGGGGAGGGCGGCGGTGGCGAGGGCGAGGGCGCGCCAATCAGAACGTCGGACCGCATGGAAGGGTGCATGTTAAATGCCGTGATGTAAATCCTCACGTAACGCGCACTCGTCCCCTCCGCGAACAGCGCTTGCTTTGGGGTATCGTTGTCGACGTTGCCGTCAAACTGCCCCTTGTCTGACCACGAATGGCCGTCATTGCTAACCTTGACTGTAAACCTAGTTTGCCGAGGCGAGCGCGATTGATGCGCACGTTGTCCCATGGTCGGCATTCGATGCTTGGTTGCCTGGCCCGTTGTCCCACGGTCCCAGGTAGTCGGAGCGTGGGCAAGACGCCGCCGCGTCATACTTGCTCGCAAAATCCGGGTGCGTGTGGTCCGGTCCAAGGTCAACGACGTTGATGGTGACGCCCGCGCCGGTGATGCCCGAGGCCCAGACCGGCTCCACATTGATCAGGTCAAACACCCACTGGTTCGGCTCGTACAGCGGGTCCGAGATGGAATAGTACTTGCTGTCACAGCTGTCGACCCATGCGGACTCGGGGCAGAGGTCCCTGTCCCCTGGCTCTGTCGGGGTATAGGGTTGCCAGGCGCAAAGCGCCGCCCCTGGGCACCACACCTTCCCACGGTCGATGCACCCGGAGCACGTGGAAGAGTATACGAGGGAAGGGCAGTCATTCCCGTCGAAGAGGCATGCAGCCGTGTTGCAAGCTAGGTCGCAATAGGTGTCGCCGATCCACGAGGAAGGGCAAGCCTTCGGACACGATGGCGGCCGACTGTCCGTGCACTGAATATCGGGGCCTTTGCAGTAGACTCCACTCGAGCCGTCTTCTTCCGGGAAGCACTTCATCGTGCCAAAGAACCCAATTAGCCCCCCTTCCATTGCGCAGCGCGGCGCCTCGAAAGGACAGATGCATGTGGAAGCTGAGGAGCGAGGGGTGACGCCGGCAAGGGCAACCGTCTTGTCGTTCCCCGCCATGGCCGTTGCGGATGTGCCAGCCGCGGAGCCGTTGTGCAGCACCCTGGCTGACGCGGCGCGCGCGGGTTGTTGGTGCACAAACAGTAGTGCAAGAGCGGTGAACATTGACCTGATGCGCGTTGTCAAGCGTCGCAAGGTGCTGCGCGACGGTGTGCAATGTGGTTCCCGCTAGGTAGCTGTGAGACGTTGCTAGAGCGGTGTGCGGACGCTGTGATGCGATGCTCGGGAGACAGCTCGGGCGGAGGGGGCGTTCTTACCCAGGAACGATAACGAAAGCAAGGTGCTGCGCGCCGCGACCGTGCAATGCTGAGGGCGGAAATAGGCGTGATACTTATCTCCTCAATTCGGGCGGCAGTGCTCGGAAAGGTCCGCAAGGACCCTTTTCAGTTTGACGAGACTCGATGGTCAACCTTCAGGGGACAGCTAGACGCGGCACACACAGACAGACTGCAGACAGGCGGAGAACAAACAAACGATGGAACGAACGCCAGCCAGCGAGCGAGGCCACACACAGGCAGGTACGTTGCACGAACGAGAAAACGAAAGAGAATTTCACAACCAAACTCCCTCGGACACACTGGGCACTGGCGCGCACTAATACGTAATAAGAGGAAAGACAGAACCGGCAGTCAGTCAATGTCCTTCTAGGCGGGGCGGGAGCAACCAGCAGAGGCCATGAAAAGACAATTCGCGTTTGGCACTGAGCCCGGGCGCGCGATTTGTCTCCTTGAACTTGATCTCCGCGCCTTCAGCGTCCTTATGGCGCTTCGCGTCCGATAAGACGAGCACTCAGCCCTGGCGCAGAGCCGCAGCTCCAATCGACATGCCGTCCGCCGCCACGTGCACCTTCTTCATGCTCGACGCCGACTTTGTGCGCTCGTTTCGTGGCACGACCCTTCCCTTCTACCAGGAGATCCGCGAGAAGCACCCGCACGTCATCGCTGAACAAACCCTCGATTACACTGTGGTTGTCAACGGCACACACTCTGAGAAGATCCTGTCAGTGTCGCATCGGTGGATGCAGCCCGATGAGCCCGACCCCGACGGCGAGCAGCTCAAGGCGATCAAAAGGTTTCTCAACTCGCCTGCTGGCAAGAAGATTGAGCTCATCTGGCTCGACAGCGCCTGCATGCCTCAGGACCACCCCAAGGGATCGCGCACCGCGGAGGACAAGGCTGACTTCAACAGGATGCTCTCCGAGGTGAACATGCTCTACCTGGGCACCACCGTCCTCATCCTCCTCGACCTATCCTACGTGTCGCGCTTCTGGACGCAGTTCGAGTCGTGGCTTGCCATGCAGTACGCAATGCCAAGCGGCCTCAAGCCGGCCATCGGGACTAAGAACGAGCGCCACCACATCGTGTGCATCCAGAACGCGGCCGAGCAGGCGGAGCTGCAGACGAAGATGCTCATCCAGAGCTGGGCCGATAAGACGCCGGACGCTGCGTTCGCCTTCCTCTCCAAGCCCGACGTGTCTGTCACCAACCAGAGCGACAAGGAGGCCCAGCTGCCAAAGATCAAGGAGCTCGACGCGACGGTGCAAGATGCGTTCAAGGCGATCTCAGACAGGCTCAACAGCGAGCTCGCCTTGAGCCAGGGGGCTGAGGCTGCCTCCGCGCTCGAGGCAAAGAGGAGACACGAGACGGCGGTCTCGCTTGGCGTCATGCCAGCAAGGATGGATTGGGAGAAGGAGAGCGCGGCCGCCGAGCTCAAGGCGGCAATGCCGGGACGGTTTGGCGCCATCAATGTCGCAAAGCTCAAATGCGCCGTCGAACGGGCGCGGGCGACGGGCGTCGATGCAGCGGACGTCGTCGCTGCCGAGCGCGAGCTGTCCGAGTACCACACTGCGTGCCTAAAGGCAGCACAAGCGAAGGAGAGCGCGGCAGCCGAGCTCAAGGCGGCAATGCCGGGATGGTTTGGCGCCGTCGATGTCCCAAAGCTCAAATCCGCCGTCGAACGGGCGCGGGCGACGGGCGTGGATGCAGCGGACGTCGACGCTGCCGAGCGCGAGCTGTCAAAGGCAACGGCGGCCGAGGACGCAGCAGCACAAAAGGCGGTGATAGATAGCGCCGCCTCAGCTCTCAAGGCGCAAATGCCGGGGTGGTTTAGCTCTGCCATCGATGTTGAGAAGCTCGCTTCAGCCATCGAACGCGCGAAGGCAACGGGAGTTGATGCGGCGACCATCCGGGCGGCCGAGGTCGAGCTGCAGAAGGAGTATGACAGATATCCGTGGGGTCGCACCTCGCAACGGACCCGGTGCGCTTCCTGTGGGCATGTGGGCCTCACCAATGCGTTGCCCGAGTTTGCTGAGGCAGCCGCCTTCACTGCCACTGTCGGGTGCTGCCTTCCTCTCCTCGTTCCAGGCTGCTTAGACAACGCCAAAGATGTCGTGCACTTCTGCTCCAACTGCGGGAACGGGCTCGGCCGGAACCCGGGCGCAAGTCAATGCCTTTGCGAGCTACTGCCTGTGCTACTCGACCAGTAGGCTTGATCGACCAGTAGGCGGGACCGCTAGTGTCTGCGTCGAGGGTGTGTCTGCGGTGTGCGCAGGGAAACCTCCGGGGCATGCTCCGGGGGATGACCGGTGTCGCTCTCCGCTCGAACCTCGATCATCGATTCTCCGCGCAAAAACACACCCTCTGAGCGCTCTATGACCCAGCATAACACACGGGTGCTTTGCGCAAAGGTCGAGGTTTGCGCATGTACCTGTTTCAAAACCTGTACTCCGCGGGCGACAGGTCGTCCCAAAGGTCGACACACAACGATCAGCTCACACGACGCCGCAGGCGCAGCAGCCCCGCGCTCAACATGGCACACGTGACAAACTGTCACTCTACAAGCGGCGCAAAGTCGCCCTCGAACTCCTCGAGGTCGCGCTGGCGCGCCGCGCCGTCCGGGCCGTAAGAGCCGAGCCTGGTCTGGGCCCGCTCTAGCCAGCCGTAGAGGAGGGGGCGGCAGCGCTTGTAGGCCAGAGCCCCGTCCACCGCCTCGTACCAGCGCTGCAGGTCGCGCATGCTTGCGGGGGGGAGGCGGAGGACGGTGGTGGCGGGAGAGAAGGCATGGGGGCTGATGGTGGCAGTGTCTGGCACGGTGACGCGGGTCAGGGAGGAGCAGCGGGCGAAGGCGTAGCCGCCGATGGAGGTGAGGCCGACGGGGAAGGCGACGGAGGAGAGGGAGGAGCAGCTGTGGAAGGTGCCCTCGCCGATGGAGGTGAGGCCGACGGGGAGGGTGACGGAGCCGAGGGAGGAGCAGCCGTAGAAGGCGTAGCCGCCGATGGAGGAAAGGCCGGCGGGGAGGGTGACGGAGGAGAGGGCGGAGCAGCTGGCGAAGGCGTGGCTGCCGATGGAGGTGAGGTTGGCGGGGAGGGAGACGGAGCCGAGGGAGGAGCAGCCGCAGAAGGCGTTCATGCCGATCGAGGTGAGGGTGGCGGGGAGGATGACGCGGGCGAGGGCGGAGCAGCCGTCGAAGGCGTTGTGGCCGATGGAGGTGAGGCCGACGGGGAGGGTGACGGAGGAGAGGGAAGAGCAGCGCCAGAAGGCGCGCTTGCCGATGGAGGTGAGGCTGGCGGGGAAGGCGGCGGTGGTGAGGGCGGAGCAGCAGTAGAAGGCTTGCTCGTCGATGGAGGTGAGGCCGGCAGGGAGGTCGATGGAGGAGAGCGAAGAGCAGCCCTCGAAGGCGCCCACGCCGATGGAGACAAGGCTGCGCGGGAAGGCGACCGAGACGAGAGAGATGCGGCCGTGGAACGCCCGGTCCGGCAGGTGCGTCATGCCTTCGGGCAGCACCGCGTGCCCGTCGGCGATGACGACCTGCCAGCCGCCCACGTCCAAAGTCTTCGTGCCTCGACGCCTTCGGCGCCGCCGAGCGGCACCGCTGGAGGCCCAGTGGGAGGCCGGCATCATGCGGTGGGTGCGGATTTTCGTTTTCTGAATTCTTTTTCTCTTCGCTTCGTAGATGAGATTTTTGAAAGCCAAGAAATCTCTTATGGAATAGACCTATTGGAAGAAAATGGCAGGATTTCTCCCTTTCGACTCCCTTCGATGGCGCCGCGCTCGCGCTGCTGCTCGCGCTCCTGCGACCGGCACGCCTGGCGCGTCCGTCCCTGCCGAGTACCGCTCCCAGAAGCTCCCCTGACCCTGCACGCGGCGCTTCGTGTGGCGCTGCGCTGTAGCGACGCGACCGGGCTCGCGGCCGCCCTCGAGGTGGTCAGCCAGCACTGGGAGCGGGAGGGTGGGTTCACGCTTACGCCCGAGGCTGCGTCGCGCAGCGGCGGGCTCTGGCTTCTGAGCCCGGCTGACATTGCCGCAAGGCGGCGTCACTCGCAGCGCGGCGGAAACAGCGAATCATACGACGCTCCGCCATACGCGTTTGAGGTTTCGCCGCACGACGGCGGCGGCGCGGTTGCCGACGAGAAGGCTGGCGGTGGAGCCGGCACCGCGGCCGTCGCGACGGAGGGCTGGCGCGCCGCGGGTCAGAGCGGGCGGGTGACGGGCCAGCTCAGCCGCGTGCGCTGGCCCGAGGGCGGAGATGGGGTGCCTGCTGCCGCCGCACGACTGCTTGCTGCTCGGACGTGCTTCGTCCTGGAGGGAGCGAGGCTGTGGCCCGCCGCACAGGACAAGTGGGGCGAGCCCGCCTACCTCGCCGAAGGCCTCGGCGAGGCGAGCCGCGTCTCGCAGCTCGTCTCTCTCCCTCTCTCCCTCTCTCCCTCTGTCACCACCCGCTCTGCTCCTCGACTCTGTCACCACCCGCTCTGCACCTCAGCAACGCGGCACCCTGCACCTCCGCGCCACCTCCCTCTCCACCCGTCTCCAGGTGAGCTGCCACGTGCTGTCTGCGCCCGCGCAGACCAAGGAGTTTGCCTACTTCTTGCCCGGCCGCAAGTTTGCGACGCTGGCGCAGGCGACAGGCAGCTGATTGCAGCCCGGCTGCACCTCAGCCGCATCTCTCCTTACATCTCTCGTCTCTGCTGCGGCTGCACCTCGGTCGCACCTCGGTCGCACCTCGGCTGCACCTCGGCTGCACCTCGGCTGCACCTCGGCCGCACCTCGGCCGCACCTCGGCCGCACTTCGGCCGCACTTCGGCCGCACCTCGGCCGCACCTCGGCCGCACCTCGGCTGCACCTCGGCCGCACCTCGGCCGCACCTCGGCCGCACCTTGGCCGCACCTCGGCTGCACCTTGGCTGCACCTCAGCTGCACCTTCTCGCAGGCGACCGCCGCCGGCTCAGACCGTGTCCTCGCCGACTACCGCTTCGAGAGGCCAGACGTCGCCCAACTCAACCTCCCCTTCGCCGCCTTCCTCGACCCCGCGCACGCCGCCGCGGGCCGCTGCCTCTACCTGCAGCACCCCCTCCTGCGCCCCGCCGGGGCGGGAGCTGCAGAGGCGGCGCCGCACTCTCCGCCGCCGCCGCCGACGGCACACCGGCACGGCTACGGCGCGCCTCGTACCACACCTCCAGAGTACCGAACCCAGTGTGGGTTCAGTCCCGTGGGTGGTGCGGTAGGCGTGCCGACCCTCGCGCCGACGCCGCGGCTCGGCGCCGCCATGGCTGCCGACCTCTCCTCGCTGCGGCTCGCGCGGCTACGCGCGCTCGAGGCTGCCGCGAGGGTCGGGGCGTGGACGGTCTGCCAGCTGTTCGTCGGCAGCGCGGCGACGGGCGGCGCGCGCACACGGCTCCACTCCCTAGAAGCGGAGCACGTGTTCTTTGTCTCCCTCCTAGCGCCCGAGAGGACACGCACTCAGCGGGGGTCACCGTACTCGTACCCCCCTCGTCCTCACGCGGTGCTCTGAAGACTCTCCACAACACCGCCTCCCCGCCCTCATGCCGGCGCCCTCGCCACGCAGGCTCCACTTTGACCAGTACGACAACTTTTACCTGCAGCTCGCGGGTACAAAGACCTTCCGCCTCTTCGACCCCAGCCAGAGCGGCAGGCTGGCGCCCTACCCGGTCCACCACCGCATGGACCGCTCGGCGCAGGCGAAGCTAGATCTCCCCACATCTCACCCACATCTCACCCAACATCTACATCTACATCTCACCGCACGGACCGCTCGGCGCAGGCGAGGCTATATCTCCCCACATCTCACCCACATCTCACCGCACGGACCGCCCAGCGCAGGCGCTTCCGCCGCGCTGCGACGACGCGCGCGGCGTCGAGGTGACGCTGCAGCCGGGCGACCTCCTGTACCCTACCTCCAGAGTACCGAACCCAGTGTGGGTGGTGTGGCAGGTGACGCTGCAGCCGGGCGACCTCCTGTTCCTGCCGGCGTACTGGTGGCACGAGGTGAGAGATACAGCCGAGATGTAGCCGAGATACAGCCGAGATATAGCCGTGCTGCCGGCGTACTGGTGGCATTAGGTGTCGCCCGAGATCACTCGAGATCGCCCGAGATCACCCGAGATCGCCCGAGATCACTCGAGATCACCCGCCGGCGTACTGGTCGCACGAGGTGACGACCGGTCCCGTCCCCGCCGGCGCGCTCGCTGTCTCGCTCAACTTTTGGTGAGACCACCCGAGATGACCTGAGATGACCCGAGATGACCCGAGATGGCCAGAGATCACTCGAGATCACTCGAGATCACTCGAGATCACTCGAGATCGCTCGCCGTCTTGCTCAACCTTTTGGTCCCGCGCCGTCGCTCACGCCGCCACGGCGCGCGCGAAGTGATCGCTTCAGTCAGTCAGCCGGCCGCTGTAGGGTGCTTCCACCACCCCCGCGAAGCCACTCTCCCTCCTGTGCCTGACCTGCCCGGCGCGCCGTGGCAGGTACTCGGCCATGCAGCAGATCCTCTCCCCCGAGTGGCCGCTCGGTCCGCCCCTGCGCGTCGAGCTCGCGCGCCAGCTCGAGTACCTCGTCGCAGACAGCTTTGGCGACGCCGGCCGCGCGGTGCCCGCATTCTTCCGCGGGCTGCGCGCGCAGGTGGCCGCCTGAGGGAGGGTGTAGAGCTCTACCTCTGCACTCAGCATCTGCATCGCTTCGTCACGCGCCGGATGTAGAGCTCTCCAGCTCTCCAGCTCTCCAGCTCTCTCCAGCACTACAGCTCTCCAGCGCTCTACATCGCTCTCCAGCTCTACAGCGCTCTACAGCGCTCTACAGCGCTCTACAGCTCTACACCCCCCCTCAGGTGGACGCGGCGGCGGCCGGCCTGCCCGCAGGCGAGGAGGAGGGGAGCGCCGCGTGGCCGAAGATGGAGGCGAGCTGCGCACTCACACCGCCCACTCCCCCCCTCAAGCACACACACACACACACACACACACACACACACACACACACACACACACACACACACACACACACACACACACACACACACACACACACACACACACACACACACACACACACACACACACACACACACACACACACACACACACACACACACACACACACACACTCACTCACTCACTCACTCACACTCACACCGCTCACCCACACACCGGGCCTTGCGCTTCTAATGCCGTGGGGGCTCCTGTCGTCTAGACGTGGAGTCGCGAGGGCCAGCCTGGCCCTTGCCCCACCACCTCGTGTGTGTGGAGAAGCCCAGCTGGCAGAAGCATGCCTTACCCTACCTTACCCTGCCACCGAACCCTACCTTACCTTAGGCGAGCCGCCCTCGCGGTGTGGCTCCGGAGAAGTGGCGCGGCCTCTTCGAGTACGTGGTCTGGCGGCTACTCCTGCTGCTCGAGCCGGGCCACGCCGGCTGCTTCCTGGCCGACTTGTGCGACCCCCGCCGCTTTGACGGCTTGCCGCTGCAGGCGGTGACGGCGGCGGGGCGAGGCCGGATGTTTGGCGACGGGCGCGCGGTGCCGACCACGCCGTACAACTCGAACACCACCACCCGCAAGGTGCCCGACGCCACCGAGGTGGCGTAGGGCGGAGCTAGGGGTGGCGGGCACGTCCCTGCCGCCTTGTGCATTTGTTAGGATAGCGCGCGATTTGCCGTCGCGTGGCCCTCTTGCGAGCACAGCACGGCGCCAAAATCGCTTTCTTTTTCCAACACGATGGGTGCCCGGCTTGACGCCTTCAGCGCCGCCGCCGAGCGACGCCGCGCCGCTGCCCGGCTCCGAGATTTTGGACGTGGGTCGCTGGCAGGTCGTCATCGCCGACGGGCACGCGGTGCTGCCCGAAGGCATGACGCACCTGCCGGACCGGGCGTTCCTCGGCCGCGCCTCTCTCGTCTCGGTCGCCTTCCCGCGCAGCCTTGCCTCGATCGGCAGCAGCGCCTTCGAGGGCTGCTCTTCGCTCTCCTCCATCGACCTCCCTGCCGGCCTCACCGCCATCAACAACCACGCCTTCCGCCGCTGCTCCGCCCTCCCCACCGTCACCTTCCCCGCCGGCCTCGTCTCCATCGGCAGCTACGCCTTCCAAGATTGCTCCGCCCTCGCCGCCATCGACCTCCCCGCCAGCCTCACCTCCATGGGCGAGCAAGCCTTCGCCCGCTGCCCCTCCCTCGCCTCCATCGCGCTGCCGCTGCCCGATGGCCTCTCGATTGGCAACAGAGCCTTCTACGACTGCCCCCTCGACGACGAAGCGAAGGCAGCAGTGCGGGCCATCAACGTTTGGGCGGTACGGCTTCCAATCGACGCGCAGGGGCACACCACCGTGCCGGAGGGCGTCACCTCCATCACAAGCAGCGCCTTCTCCGACTGCTCCTCCCTCGTCTCCGTCACCCTCCCCGCCAGCCTTCCCTCCATCGGCATCTACGCCTTCCACGGCTGCTCCGCCCTCACCTCCGTCACCCTCCCCGCCACCCTCACCTCCATCGACCACGAAGCTTTCGCCAACTGCTCCGCCCTCTCCTCCATCGACCTCCCTGCCAGCCTCACCTCCATCGGCGAGGGCACCTTCCACAGCTGCTCCTCCCTCGCCCGTGTCACCTTCCCTGCCAGCCTCACCTCCATCGACAACTACGCCTTCTACGGCTGCTCCTCCCTCGGCTCCGTCTCCCTCCCCGCCAACCTCACCTCCATCGAAGGCTGCGCCTTCTACGGCTGCTCCTCCCTCGTCTCCGCCGCCTTCCCCGCCAGCCTCACCTCCATCGGCAGCCACGCCTTCGCCCGCTGCTCCTCCCTGACCCGCGTCACCGTGCCAGACACTGCCACGATCGGCGCCCACGCCTTCCTGCCCGCCACCACCGTCCTCCGCCTCTCGCCCGCAAGCATGCGCGACCTGCAGCGCTGGTACGAGGCGGTGGACGGGGCTCTGGCCTACAAGCGCTGCCGCCCCCTCCTCTACGGCTGGCTAGAGCGGGCCCAGACCAGGCTCGGCTCTTACGGCCCGGACGGCGCGGCGCGCCAGCGCGACCGCGAGGAGTTCGAGGGCGACTTTGCGCACCTCGCGCTCCATGCAGACTGACCCAGGCGTGTGAGCGGTGACGATTGACATCGCTGTGATTTGCTGTAGACTCTCAACGAAAGAATATGCAGACTGTCTCGTCTCAGAGACACTCAGACTGATATACTATATACAGATAGCATATTTACTTTTTCTCAGAAGACAGAACAACCGCGGTGTGCTGAGCACACAGACCTGCTTCAAAAGCTAAGGGAGAGGGCAGTCTGGTTGGACGAGGAACCAGGGAGGAGCGCTCGCGGCACCGCGCTCGGTGCGCCGCCGCATCTTTTTCCTTTTCCGTTTTCCTCTTGCCCCACCACCTGTGTGTGTGGAGAAGTTTACGGGGTTCGTGTTCCACATATGGTCCCTCGGGAGCTCGGGTCCCTGCTGCTCCCGAGGACTTCGCTGTACAGATAGCATTTTACATGCACACGAGGGGTGCGCGTGTGTGCGTGTGCGTTTTTCGTTTCGTATTCTTTAAAATTCTTTAGTTTACGGAATTTATGCGCTCCCTCCTCGGCTGCTCCTGTTACAAAGAACCCTCTGCACAAACGACAATGACCGACGAACACAACCTTTTCAGGAACACCATTTTGCGGTCCTGAGCGGCCGCCTCGGAGCAGAAGCTTCCCTGCCTCCTTAGCCATGTTGCGGTGCCCTCGCGCCATCTGGTCCACGCACTGCTCGCAAGTAAAGCGTCTTCACAGGTCGGCAGATACGCCTCACCTTCAAAAGGGTGCGCTGCCTACCCCAGGCGCAAAAGGTGGCCAAGGAGGGGGCGCGCGAGGCGGCCACCGCGGCGGGCGACGAGCGCGGGCCGCCGAGCAAGGCGGCCCTCGAGACGAGCGTGTATACTTGCGCCGCCTCGAGGCGAAGCCGGAGGTGTACGCCGGGATGGAGCAGCTGACAGAGACGTACTTCGAGTGCATCGGCCACGACAGCGCGGAGGACTAGGACATTCACTATATTTATTACATTCAACCCACATAAAAGAAAGAAAGAAAGAAAGCAGACAACCCAAACGAGGGATGGGGGAGAACCCACATGTCCGATGAGCGACCCACGTAAAATTCTTTTTCTCGCGATGTCCAACCCGCCGCGCCGCTCGCGCCGCCGCGCCGCCCCCGCCTCCACCGCCGCTTCCTCGCCAATCACGCCGACGCCCATCCGCCTCCTCGAGCTCCCCACGGAGCTCCTCGCGCGCGCCCTCTCTCGCTGCAACAGCCCCGCCGACATCGCTCGCGTCGCAGCCGTCTCGCTGCTCTTCCACGCCTCGCTCGCGGTGGAGGCCATCCGCTTGTGGGCGCAAGAGCGCGGCTTCGAGCTGCCTGCGCAGCCAGAGGGCGAGGGCTGCGCCGTGCGGTGGCTGTGCTTTTCGGCGTTGCTTTGCGAGTCCAACCCGCCGGAGAGGGTGGCGGCAGGCCTTCAGCACAGCCTCTTCATCGACGGCGAGGGGCGGCTCTCGTCGTGCGGGTCAGCGGCAACGGAGGACGAGGAGGGCGAGGAGGACGAGGAGGAGGAGTTTCCCGGCCTTCTCGGCCACGGCGAGGGCGTGACGCAGCTCAACACGCCGACCCGCCTCCCTTCCTCGCTGGGCGACGAGCGCGCCGTGAGCGTGTCGGTTGGAGCCGCGCACAGCCTCGCCATCACCGCCGACGGCGCCGTCTGGAGCTGGGGCGAAGGAGCCTGGGGCAAGCTGGGCCACGGCGACCTGCAGGACCAGCTGCTGCCAAAGAAGATCGATGCCTTTGCTGGCCAGCGCGTCGTTGCTGTGTCCGCGGGATGCGACCACAACCTCGCCCTCACCGCCGACGGAGCTGTCTGGAGCTGGGGCTTTGGAGGCTTCGGCCGGTTGGGCCACGGCGACCAGCAGCACCAGCTGCTGCCCAAGAAGGTCGAGGCCTTTGCTGGGCAGCGCGTCGTCGCTGTCTCGGCTGGAGGCAACTACAGCCTCGCCCTCACTGCCGACGGAGCTGTCTGGAGCTGGGGCGAGGGAGGCTTCTTTGGCCCGTTGGGCCACGGCAATCAGCAGCACCAGCGGCAGCCAAAGAAGGTCGAGGCCTTGGCTGGCCAGCGCGTCATCGCTGTGTCGGCTGGGTGGATGCACAGCCTCGCCATCACCGCCGACGGCGCTGTGTGGAGCTGGGGCGGTGGAGAGCAAGGTCGGCTAGGCCACGGCGACCAGCAGCAGCAGCTGCTTCCCAAGAAGGTCGAGGCCTTGGCTGGGCGGCGCGTCGTCGCTGTGTCGGTTGGATACGGCCAAAGCCTCGCCCTCACCGCCGACGGCAGCGTCTGGAGCTGGGGCGATGGAGGCTTTGGCAAGCTGGGCCACGGCGACGAGCAGCGCCAGCTGCTGCCCAAGAAGGTCGAGGCCTTGGCTGGGCAGCGCGTCGTCGCTGTCTCGGGTGGAACCGTGGACAGCCTCGCCCTCACCGCCGGTGCCGTCTTTACCTGGGGTAAAGGCGAGCGTGGCATCCTAGGCCACGGAGAGGACCTGTCGAACCAGCTGCTGCCCAAGAAGATCGAGGGGTGGGCGCCGGGGCAGTGAGCAGGAGGGTGTGGGTGCGAGGGGCCCCTTACCCGCCTGAGGCTGAGCGAAGTACTGTTTCGGTCGTGGTGGATGGGCCCACATATTGGCGACATGCACATGTACATGTACATGTGTGCATGTAGCGGCACTCTTTGAACGGGAGACGAAAGACGTGCCGAAGAAGGGGAGAAGTCTCTAACGAGAGTCCGCGACACTCAGTATAACTGTGTACCAAGGTATAAGATTACGTAAGCTGGCGCTCATGGGTCAACGCACAACGGCCTCGAGGCGAGAGTACTGCTTAGTAATGTGTGTTACGGCAAGCTAGGGGACGCGCGACTACAAGTTTGAGGCTACGCGCGCGATTTTGGCCTTCAATCCTTTTCATGTTTCGCTTTCGCTCGAAGTTTCGAATTGTTCGCCCATGCCGTCGGTGCCGAGCAAGAAGTCCTCCTTGTCACGCACGGCCTCATAAATGACCCTCTCGCCCTTGTCCTCGATGGGGTTGCCCTCGATGCGGAGCTGTGCAGGCAGCACAGACACGCGCTCAGAGGCATGCACAGCGAGGGGCAAGCAGGCGGCACGCACCTTCGTCATCGATCGGTTGCTGCGGAGGTAGGCTGCAATCGCCTCGGCAGCCGCCGGGCCGAGCTGGTTCTTCCAAAGGCGCATTTCTTCGATGTGCGCGTCCGTGGCGATGTTCGAGAAGAGCGCTGCGCCAGCCTCGTCCGTCAGGCCGACCTCAGGGAGGTCACAGTATCTGAGGCGACGGCAGAGGCTGAGGCACCGGCCGAGCTGCTGCATGTCCCGCACCGTCGGTTTCGTCATCCGTTGGAAGTTGAGCTCCTTGACACTGCTCAGCTGCCCCTCGCTCATCTTGCGGTACAACGCCTTGACCGCTCCCTTGTCCGCGCCGTTGGTGAACTGTTTCTTCTCAATCAGCTCGTCGAAGCCGTCGGGGTCGAGCGGCCACCGTCTCCTCGTCGGCTCGGCGGCTCGGCAGCTCGTCTCGACCTCGTCCTCCTCGTCACTGACCTCGTCACTATCATTGTTGGCTCGAGACTCCTCGTCACAGGTCTCGAGGTCCTTCAGCCCGTCAGTTTCGAGAGCCTCGCCGCTGCTAGCACCGAGATCGAGGACGAGCGACCACGTCATAATCATAGAGTAGGCCTTCTTGATCTGCTCGGCGGAGCAGCGCTCGTATGTGGTCCAGCCCGACTCGTCGTAGCCCGCCTTGCGCTGCGTGCCCTCTGGCAGTTGCGTGAGCATGTAACACCACCGTACCCTGGTGGGCGTACCACAGGTCCATCGTGTTGTGCAGCGCGTAGCGGAAGGCCGCATTCTCCTCCTCGCTGCGGCTCGCCTCGTAAGCCGCTCCGCCGTAGAACCTGCGCTTCGCCTGCAGGTCCACGACGAAGGCCTCCCGCTCCGGCCCCTCGGGCTTGGCCTCAGGCGTCTCGGTCGGGTCGAAGAGCGCGGGGTCCCTCTGGTGGAGGCAGCCCCAGTCCCAGAAGACGCCCATCTCGGTGAAGCCCGGGACGTTGGTATTGAAGTCGTGGCTAACCATCTCCTCAGCATACTTGGGCATCTCGCGCTCGAGGGTGGCCGCCACCGTGGCGAGCTGCTTGCCGCGCGGGTCGGGGTGCGCCGCCGTGTCCCAGCAGAAGGAGATGGAGATGATGGGCAGCCTGCCTTCGAAGTTGCCTTTGTCATATAACCTCTTGAGCTCCTCGACGCTGATGAAGGCCTCTTCCTATCTCCCTTCGCAAAAAAGAAAGAAAGAAAACAGACAACCCAAGGGAGGGATGGGAGGACGGAACGCCGCCACCACACAGGGATTTTAAGGAGAGGTGTGTGGTGCGCTAGCCGTCGCCCACCCTAGGGAGTCTCCCTTCGCAATAAATAAATAAATAGAGCAGTCATCTCCAGGGAGAGATGGGCGACGCACACGAACACAGAGGGACAGTGCGCACCCCGCCCCGCTCGCAGGGCGTGCATCACACAGGTGGACTGTGTGACTCCTCGGGTTTCTGGGACTCAGAGCAAAAGAAAGAATTTTGAAAAGAAAGAAAGAAAACACACAACCCAAGGGAGGGATGGGAGAACGGCACGCCGCCTGTCGAGCTCCGAGATCCCGCTCAAATCCCGCTGGTCCTCGATGTCGCCGGGGAGCGCCGCCGAGGAGCTCCAGCGTCGCCGGGTCCACTTCCGAACCAGGCCAACGCCGCGTCGACTTCCGTTGACGTTGCTAGGCTCCATCCAGATAATGCGCAAAAGCGGCCCGAGGGCATGTCACAATACGCCGTGGAAGTCGATCGCGATGGCCGGTGGGCTCGCTTATTGATTAGATTTCTTCTTTCTTGGGTTCTGCGGATGTATGTGGCTAGTGCACCTTGTCGTGCCTGTGTGCTGCCCAACCGCGTATCAGGCAATCGTGAGAGTTCTGCGTACATCAATCCTCATTCTCCGATTGGGATGAACGCGTCGTGCCGCAAGAGAGAGGAGCGGCGACGGGGCTCTCTCCGCCCCCGCGCCCGCCCCCGCGCCCGCCCCCGCGCCCGCCCCCGCGCCGACCCATTTTTGTGCCGTTTTCCTGCCTCGCGCCATTCTAGACACCCGGCTGCAAGTGTGCAAGGACATGCTCCGCGCTCCGTGACCATGTAAATAAATCGAGATCTGTATGCATCGCATGTTTCTCTGTCTTTTATCTGTGAGACAGACAGAGGAGTGTCGTTTGAGGTATGTTCTTGGCAAATCAGGCAGGACACAGAGCTCACACAAATTCACGTTTTGGTAATATACACCTGATTGTGATGACATTAAATGAGGAAGCCACACTCTCTATACGGTTTACAAATCGCCCCCGTGTAGGGAACTCTTTTTGCTTTCACCACGGGAGCCGAACGAAAGAAACCGAGTCCTAGCGAATGTAGGACCAGCTGATAGCGAGTAGGGCCAAACGACGTCTCAAGCCGATCAATGGCTTTTCACCACCTCGAATCGGCCTGCCGCCACGAGGGCTTCGACTTCCGCTCCCGCGAATGCCAAGGCCCGGGCGAACTCACCTCGACTGCGCTGTGGATTGTGTTCTTCGAGATGGCTGTCATGGCTGTCTCGCTCTTCCTCCCATACTTCAACGCGATGTGGGTGGAACGCGACCCGTCCAGCATCTCGAGCTTCCTCGGCCTGCCGTTCGGCTTGCCTCTCATCGTCACCAGGTCGGGGGCGATGCAGATTTTTCTCATCCTGATCTTTGCGATCAACGTGCGCTCTGCCTGGCGCCCTGCCCTCGCGTAGCCTCTCAATCCCGCCCTATGCATCCCGTGCCCAGTGCCCAATGATCGTCGCGATGTTCTCCGACCAGCCGTGTGAGACCGGGCTGGGTGGCTGCTTCACCATCTCGTGCGTCTGCGCGAACTACATTTGGCAAGGCTACGTCTTTATGTTCTTCGTGCTCGCACTCGGCTCCTACTCCTTCTACAGGGCCCTCGCCAATCAGATGTACCCGCAATCACTCGCCGAGGTGATCGACGGCACTGTCCCAAAGAAGGTCGCATTCATGAAATCGCTCGCCCTCATTTGCGTATTCACCCCGGCCATGACCGGCATCTTTTCCTTCAACTACACCACCGACCTGAACGATCCGTACGATTTGCAGCACAACATCAACCTCGTCCTCCACGCGTTCCCGATGCTTATCGGCACCCCCCTCCTCATTGTGATTGTATTCGCCTGGTTCTTCGCGCGCCAGGTCGGCGAGAGTGGGCTCCGCGCAGGGCTCTGCCACCGCGGCGTCTGGGTCCGTGTTTTGGCCTTCCTCCTCGTGATCATCTCACTTGTGGGAATGGCGTGGAGCCTCTTCATCAATCCCCTCAACCCGCGTCGCGGCGAGGACGACATGTCCAACTTCTGCCACACTATCCGCGACGCGGATACGTGCGATCAGTGGCCCACGTCGCTCCAGCCGGTTACGGCTCCTCCGCCGATGCCACCAACTGCGCCGAGGGAGAACCACAACTTTGTTCCATTGCCCCAGTTGCCAATCGACAGGAAGGGTTTGCTCGACCCGGGCGGAAGGCTCGACATCATGTACAGCCTTGGCAACGGCAACGACGAAATGCTCGGCCTTGATCTCCAGCTGCTCAACCAATTGCTCGGGTTCAACGCCTTGCCGGGCTACACGTGCAAGTGGATTGAGACGCCGCTCACCGCGCGGCAGCTCTTCTACTCGGGCCGCGAGTGGATGGCGGAGCAGCCGACTGGCAGGTGCATCAAGCACAAGTGCGAACTCATCGCTCACTCGAAGATCATCGCCTGGGAGTACTGCTTCCTCTGGGCCATGTTTGTGTACGTCGCTGCTTTCGCAATCCCGGACGCCATCTTCCTGTCGAGGCCGCGCGGCGTGTCTCCCCGCGAGTCGACCCGCAAGACGGTCGACCTTTCGCCGTGAGCTCGTGGCAAGCCTGGCCGCGAGGCCGGGGGCGAGAACTTGGAGCTCTAGAGTGGCCGCCGAGAGATGTACATTTCGCGTTTGGACAGCTCAGGGGGTCCATAGGAAAAGCTGCCTTGTTGTCTTGATTAGTCCGTGTCGGTGTCCGTGAGTGTCCTAAAATGTCTTCATCCTGGGTCCCTCTACCTCTTTCAGTACTTCCCCGACTCTGTGTTGTTTGTGTAGTTTGATGTGTTGAGTCTTCGTGTTTCTTACTACCTCCGTTTGAAGGGCAAGCTCTCCTGCGCGCGCGTGACGTGTGGGACGCAGGTAATCGCGCGGCGGCCAAGCACAACCACAAGGCGCTCCACACAATGGTCGCTCCGCACGCCTTATCTGCTCTGTGGACTGCGCGAGCCGCGGCGCCGCGGGCGCGCGCATCGAAATGGTGTGTCGGCGGAGCGGGGCGCGTCACTTGCGTCGCGGGAAACCGAACAATCCTCCCGGCGAGAATGCGGGCGTGCCGACATTGTTTGCGGCGTTCGCCAATGGCGCGATCGCGTCGAGCACGTCTGGAGCGGGCGAGGAGAGTGCGAGCCGACCGCTGAGCGCTGCCGCCTGCGCGCGGCGCGCCGTTTCCGCCGCCCTGGTCCCGTCTGTCCCCGCCTTCGGCGTCGCCTGCCCGCCCAGCCGCATCGAGGTCCAGCCCATCGAGGCTGGTCGGAGCGGAGTGCCTATTGAGCAAAGGCCGACCGAGTCACAACAGACCCGCGGATCCCGCGGTGGCACTCGCGGGAAGAAGCGCCCGCGCCAGCAGCGTGCGCGGGGCCGCCACTCTCCTCCACCGCGAGCGCGCCAGCAACCCGCGATGTGAGCTGCTCGCGCCGGCGCGCCTCCACCTCCAGACGCTTGACCTCCGCCTTGCTCTCCTCAGCCTCCCTGCGCGCATCGGCCGCCTCCGCCTCCAGGGCTAGGCTACGCTCCTCCGCCTCCTTGACGCGCGCCTCCAGGTCGTCAAATTTGCTCGCCAACGCGTCGTGGCGCGCCTGCGCGTCGCGCGCCGCCACCTGCAGGAGCTCCTGCTCGCTCGCCATCATCTGGGCCTGCCGGTGCACCGCGTCCTCGCGCTGCTTAGCAGCAGCCTCCCGAACCGAAGCCTTGCGCTCGCGCGCGTCGAGAGCACCGCCGCGCTCGGAGGTGGCCGCCGCCGCCGCCGCCGCTGCGCTCTCCTTCTCGTCGAGCGACGTCTCCCGCGCCGTGACCGCCGCTTGTGGGGCCCAGACCAGGTGAGGAGGCCAAGGCGTGAGCGAGCGACGGGGACCGGCGGTGGCGCCGTGCGGATCGACTCGATCATTCCGGAGAGTGTGGCCAGCTGCTGTTCCGAAGCGAGGCTGGCCTTCTGTTCGATGCTGGCCAAGCGCTCGCTCACAGGCTGGATCGACTCGGACAGAAGGCGGCGCACCTGCTCGGAAACCGCACGTGAGCCCCCTCCGGTTCGTGCTCTCCGGCACCTTGGGGGAGGCGAAACGGGGTGGCGCGCCATGCCCTCGAGCGCGGCGACGTCGAGCGGGGCCCCTCCTCCCCCCCAGGACGGGATCCGGCAGCTGGTGCGGCTGCTGCGCGCGTCGCGGCGGGGCAGACGCTCAAGCCGATCGAGCGGCTGGTGACATGAGCGTGCCTCGCGGAGAGGGACGAGCAGGAGAGGGGACGAGCCTTCATCCTTCGGCACCTCCCTCCCGACCAGACGGGTCCCACGCTCGCGTCGTCGACGCTGCGCTCACCCGTGCCGCTGAGGCGTGCGGCTACGAGGGCGTGCTCGGCGACGCCATCACCGCGCGGCGGGCTCGCCTGCCTGCGCGGATGCGCGGCCTCGGCCTGCGCTCGCTCGAGGAGGTGGCGCCGGCTGCGTTCTGCGCCTGCTTTGTCGAGGCGGCCGAGAGGTTCCTCGACAGGTCGACGCCCGGCGGCGGCAGAGAGCGCGGCTTCTTCCAGATGCTCGCTCCGCTCTTCGGCCACGGCGCCTTCGAGTTGCCGTACCCGAACAGCCCTCGCCTCTCGCGCTTCCTCTCGGGCTGCACCACCAACGTCAACCCGCTCGGCGCGCAGCTGGGGCAGCTGACGCCGACGGGCGAGTCCTTCAAGAAGGCGTGGGAGGGCATGCAGCGAGAGGTCCGCGGCGAGGGCGTGGCGGGACCTCTCGATGTCCGGGCTCCCGAGGCTGGCAACGGGCGGGCCGGCAGCGCTGGGCTACAGCGGCAGCTGACGCAGCAGCGGGAGCAGGTCAAGCGCAACCAGCTCAGCCGCAGCATCCTCGGGCTGCCGCACGGCGACACGCGGCGGGAGGCGTGGCTGGCCGTCGACTCGTTCTCGTCCGCGTGGGTGAGCTCATGGCCCTCGGCTCAGAACCGGTGCGAGGCGCGCGAGTTCCGCGAGATCTTCTGCACCTACCTCGGCCGGGAGAGCCCAGCCGTGCGCGCGCTCGTGGGCAAGAGCATCGCCTGCTCCGGCCGCGGCCCTCCTCGAGTCTGCGATGCCTTTGGCGTCCAGCTGGGCTTGGCGACGCTCAACGACCGCGCCCACGGCAACTGCCACGACGACATCTTCTCACGCGTGATCGGTGATGCGCTGCACGCGGGGCTGCGCGGCAAGGAGGAACCGCGCGAGATCTTCAGCGCCGTCATCCCGCCTGTCACACTCAACGGCACCGCTGGCACGCGCGGCAAGAACGGCATCGTGCCGGATGGGCGCCTGCACTGCAAGCTGCGCGAGTCCCGCACGGCGCGCTGCACGGGCACACGAGGCCAGGCGCATCCGTCTGTCCGGTGGCGCGGCACGACAGTGCAGCGCGGGCCCGAGCAGCCGCCGGCGGAGCACCTCCTCGAGGGCAAGACCATCCACCGCGGCGGGCCTCACTACATGAGCGCTCGGGCGCGCGACGATGGCCAGGGCGGCGCTGTCGCCGACAGGGCGAACCTTGTCCAGCGCGACTACGAGGCGCGGGCGGCGGCGCTCGATGCCAAGCCGCACGTGCAGGCATGGAACAACGGCTCGAGGGACGCCGTTTCCTCCGTGCTGCGCTCGTTTGGCACCGTGCGCAGCCTCGTTGTCGGGGCCTACGCGGAGGCGTCGGACGACCTGCACCAGCTGTTCGACTGTGTGGTGGAGTCGGCATCCAAGCAGCACTGGAGGCGGATCGGCGCGCGTAGCGCGAAGGAGGCGCGGTCCTACTTCGCTACGACGCTGCGGCGGGCGTGGGGCGTGCACTTTGCGCGCGAGTTTGCGCGGCACCGCATCCGACGCGTGGTGTTCGTGGGGGCCCCGCGGCGACAGCCGGGCAGGCCTCTCGCGACGGCCGATGGAGACTGGCCATTGCTGTCGGCGGGCGAGTTTGCGGCGCACGCGCTGCGCGTAGGCGGCGCGTGGGCGGGCGGCCCGCCCGGCCGTCGGTGAGCACCGGACGCGAGGGTCGGTCGGCTCTTAACTAGCTGTATATAGTCGCGATCTGCCGGCGTGCGTATGAGCTCACTAGCTAGAGCTCACACTAGAGGCCGTCATCGCATTCGCCTTCCTGGGACCCAGCGCTGACTTCTGACTGTCGTTGCTGTCTCTCCCCCTTCTCGACTGTCTGTGCTTGTGCGTCTTGGGTCCGGAGTTGTGCGTTTATGAGGAGATGGGTGGAGATGGGACGAGATGGGAGGAGATGAGCCGCGCCTCGCGTGGGCAGTTGGCAGCGCGCTCAGGCTGGTCCGGACGGCGGTAGGAGAGGGAGTGGCTCACCATATCTCCCCATATCTCCCCATATCTCCCCATATCTCCCCATATCTCCCCATATCTCCCCATATCTCCCCATATCTCCCCATGGTAGGAGAGGGAGTGGCTCACGGCGGTGCGGACGATGCTCAACGAGTTGCGGAGTCGCGCTGCTGAGAAGGAGAGCGGCGACGGCGGCGGCGGCGGGTGGAAGCTCGCGTCTGAGGCGGCGGCGGGCGTGCGGACCGAGTGGCGGCCCGCCGACGAGGGCGCTGCCTTTTGGATCCGGTGGGCTGTGGGGTGGGGGTGGGGGGGGGGGCGGGAGCGGCTCCTCGCGTGCGGCCGCGCCTCGCCCTCAGCAGACTCCCTCTCCCCCGGTAGGCTGGGCGGCGAGCTGCGCGGCGCCTCGCTCACGCACCCGCTCCGCGTGGAGCACGAGGCCGAGGGCACGAGCCCTTGCCGCTGAGCCGTCTCGGAGCCTCCCCGCAGGCACGCGCTCAGCGTGGCGCACGAGGCCGACTTGTGGCGCAACTGGATCCCGCCCTGCTCGGCGGCGGAGGTCGTCGCTGCGCCCGAGCCGCTCGAGCGGATCACGTACTGCCAGTTCGACTTGCCGATGCTGCGGCGCGGCCTGCTGCTGCACTGGTCCCTCTCGGACCAGCTCCTCGAGCGGCAGTCGCTGCTGCTGCTCGGCGCGTCCGTGCCCGAGGGGGCGGGCGCGCGGCTGCCGGCGGCGGCGGCGGGCGTGGCGCTCGCCAAAGCCGCCGCCATCAAGGTGCTCGTGCAGACGCTCTCGCGCAGCTCGGCGCGCATCGATTGGGTGATGCAGGTCGACCTCTGTCAAGGCCTCCTCCGCGCTGCCGCAAGCCATCGTCTCCATGGTGACAAGATCGGAGGCTCCGTGCTGGCGCTGCTGCTGCGAGAGGCGCAAAAGGTGGCCAAGGAGGGGGCGTGCGAGGCGGCCACCGCGGCGGGCGACGAGCGCGGGCCGCCGAGCAAGGCGGCCCTCGAGGCGAGTGTGTACTTGCGCCGCCTCGAGGCGAAGCCGGAGGTGTACGCCGGGATGGAGCAGCTGACAGAGACGTACTTCGAGTGCATCGGCCACGACAGCGCGGAGGACTAGGACATTCACTATGTTCATTACATTCAACCCACATGTACATGTACATGTCCGATCACACGCGCGTGGGTCGTCGATTTTTTCAAGCTCTTGCTCTCTCCCCAGAGCCAGACTGCCCCCCCCCCCCCCCCCGCGCCAAATCCCTCTAGGCGACCGGGATTTCTTTTTCGTACCCGGTGTCGTGCGAGAGAGTAGGTACTTGGAGCACTTGGAGTGCAGCCAGTAGCCGCACGCCCAGGACCGGGGACTAAGAAGCGCACCCAGTTGGCCAGACGATTGGGATCGGGTTGCGGGCAAGAGAGCCCTAGCCCTGCCTGGGGGGTGCGCGGTCGCAGGGCCATAACACACGTCTCCGAGGCGGTTAGCCCCGCGTACCGGACGCTGCCTCAGAAAGAAAGAAAACGGACAAGCCAAGGGAGGGATGGGAGGACGGCACGCCGCCACCACACAGGGATTTTAAGGAGAGGAGTGTGGTACCCTAACCCTGCCCGTCACTTGGAGCACTTGGAGTGCAGTCGGCAACCGCACACCCAGGGCCGGGGAGCTGAGAAGCGCACCCAGCGGGCCGGATGATTGGCATCGGGTTGCGGGCAAGAGAGCCCTAGCCCAGGGGGTGCGCGTTCGCAGGGAAAGGGCCGTAAAGTAAACACAGTTCTCCGAGGGTTGGACCCGCGTACCGGGTTTCCCCTTAACTGCAGGACGCCCCCTCTACTCGGAGCTAGTGGACATTACACTGGACACCACGCCCAGACACAGACACTTGCTTAGTCCTCGGTCCCAGGGCTCCACCTTCGGTCCTCCCGGGGCTCCGGTTCTCCCCGATTCGCTCTCTTGCTCGCTTGCCGAGCGTCATACGACGGCCGGTGTGGTCGTTTCCCTCGTTGTTGGTGTCGCTTCCTCCGCTGCCGCCTTTCGTCTTCGCCAGCCTCTCCCAGCTCCACCGGTTCTGAGAGTGTCGACGGCCCGGCCGAGGTCTCCCCGGGCGAGAACGGTGGCATTGGGTCGCGCCCAGTTCCACCCCCGGGGGGTCGAGCCCGCTCTCCCTGGTTGACGAGTCGCGCCCGCATCCGCGGCCTCTCTATCGTCCTCGGCTCGCCCCCCCCCTCCGCCGGCTCCTCTCCGGGCTCGGGGAGGCGTGGCCCTCCCTGTCGAAGGTCGTGGTGGTCCGGTTGCCACTGCGACTGGCCTTCCCCCGGTGAGCCCGTACGTCCCGACTCCACTCTCAGAGGCCGCGTCAGCTCATCTCTCGCCTCCTCCGACAACTGACCCCAAGCCCCCCCCGGGGCCCTCCGGCCACGGCCCTCCGGCTCGCCGGTGGGCCCACTATCGTACCGCGGTAACTCCCCTCCCCCATCTCCTCCTCCCGGATACACCAGCCTCCGGCGGGGCGGTCCCGGACCCCCCAGGTCATTCCGAGCGGGTCCATACGGCGGCGGCCCCGCCGGCGGCGGGGGTGGAGGCGGTGGCAGGGGCGGCGGGTACGGTGGCGGCCCTCGCGGCCCAAACGCCTGGTGTGGAGCCGCTGGGGCGGCCCCACGACCCTGCAGCCGTTCCAGTGGCGGGGGTGGAAATGGCAGTGTGGGTGGCGGAAACGATGGCGGCACTGGCGGCCGCACCGCCTGGTGCAGAACCTCAGGGGCGGCTCCTCGACCCAGCGGTCGCTCCAGCGGCGGGGGCGGAGGTGGTGGTGGCGGGGGCGGGCCCGGTGGCGGCGCCGGCCGCCGCACCTCCTGGGGCGGGGCCTCGGGGGATGCCCCCTGCCTCTGCGGCCATTCCAGCCGTGGCTCCACGCGTCGGCCGTCCACCCCGCTCGTGGGGGGGGGCCAAGCTCTCGCCTCCCCTCGGGAAGGGGGGGGGGCAGGGCCCGGATTCGCCGACGGCCCCGCCTCTCCCCCCCCCGGCTCCGCATCGGGCCGCAGACTGCGCAGTAGTCGCGTCGCCTCCCCCCTCGCCTGGTCCTTCTCGATTCGGTCCCGCACCGCCCGGATATCAAAGGCCGAGTTGTGTTCGGACAGTGGGCCCGCCGATGCCACACGCCTCCTCACACAGCAGGCGTACGCCTTCAGCGCCTGCCCCCCCGACTGTGTCGGCCCCGGTGCGATATCGTTGACGAGGTAGTCCTCCCCCTCCCACCGGAAAACCTGTCCAAGAAGATCTGTCGAGCCGACCAGTCGTTTAGCCAAGCCCCGCACCTCTCGTGCCTGTACTGGCCTGAGTACGCCGGTGCTGTCCGCGACCGACAGACCGATCGCCCTAAGTTCCGCCAGGACCGCCTTCTCGCCCGCCACCGTGGCCTCTTGATCCCTCTCGGCTTCTCGGATCGCATCCCGTCGTTGTCTCACCCTGTCTGCTGCCGGCACGAATCTCTCCGGGCTGCCTCGCGTCCTTTGTGGCAAGATCCGCGTCGGGGAAGGCCGATCCCTAGGTGCATCCCCGGCTCGGGGTGCGCTCGCCTGCTGTGGCGGCTGCCGCCCCCTCGCCGCCAATCCGTCTTCTCGCCTCCTCTTCTCACGGACCACAGGGGCTGCACAACAAAAGCACACAAACACTCCCTGTCCCTGCATGGCTTGGCGTAGGCGCGTCCTCATCCCCTCCTCCGCCTCTCCCTCCACCCGCTCCGAGATCCGTTCCAGGATGGCGCTAACCACCTCTTCAGCCACTCCCGTAGCCGCAGGTCCGTCTTCCGGCTTGACGTGGAACAGTGTGCGAAATTTACCGCCGCACCCATGACAGGCGGCTAGCGTGGGGAAGCGCTCCATCCCGAGCGACTCGAGAGGGATCCCCACCGCTTGCCAGTGGCGCGTCACTTGTATCGCCCGCTGCTTGGCCACCCGGGCCACCATCCTCAGGGCGCCTCCCTCCATCCCGAGCAGCGCACCCGCCATCTCCGCCTCCGCCATTCCTACTACGTGAAATTCTTTTTCTCGCGATGTCCACCCCGCCGCGCCGCCGCTCGCGCCGCCTCGCCTCCGCCTCCACCGCCGCGCCCTCGCCAGACACGCCGCCGCCCGCCCGCCTGCTCGACCTCCCCACGGAGCTCCTTGCGCGCGCCCTCTCTCGCTGCGACCCCGCCGACATCGCTCGCGTCGCGGCCGTCTCGCTCCTCTTCCACGCCTCGCTTGCGCTGGAGGCCATCCGCTTGTGGGCGCAAGAGCGCGGCTTCGAGCTGCCGGCGCAGCCAGAGGACGAGAGCTGCGCCTTGCGGTGGCGGTGCTTTGCTGCTCTGCTGCGCGAGCACAACCCGCCGGCGAGGGCGGCGGCAGGCTGGCAGCACAGCGTCTTCATCGACGGCGAGGGGCGGCTCTCGTCGTGCGGCTCAGCTTCGGCAGTCTTCCCTGGGCTACTCGGCCACGGCGAGGGCGTGACGCGGCTCAACACGCCGACCCGCTTCTCTTCCACACTGGGCGGCGAGCGTGCAGTGAGCGTGTGGGCTGGAATATACCACAACCTCGCTGCCACCGCCGACGGCGCCGTCTGGAGCTGGGGCAGTGGAGCCTTTGGCCAGCTGGGCCACGGCGGCGAGCTGAAGCAGTTGCTGCCGAAGAAGATCGAGGCCTTCGCTGATCAGCGGGTCGTCGCTGTGTCGGCTGGAGGCCAGCACAGCCTCGCCATCACCGCCGACGGATCTGTCTGGAGCTGGGGCAGTGGATCCTTTGGCAGGTTGGGCCACAATGACGAGCAGGACCGGTGGCAGCCAAAGAAGGTTGAGGCCTTTGCCGGCCAGCGCGTCGTCGCTGTGTCGGCGGGATACGGCCACAGTCTCGCCATCACCGCCGACGGAGCCGTCTGGAGCTGGGGCTATGGAGGCGTTGGCCAGCTAGGCCACGGCGACCGGCAGCGCCAGCTGCTGCCGAAGAAGATCGAGGCCTTTGCTGGCCGGCGCGTCGTCGCTGTGTCTGCTGGAGAGTACCACATCCTCGCCCTCACCGCCGACGGAGAGGTCTGGAGCTGGGGCCACGGATACCACGGTATGCTGGGCCACGGCGACGAGCAGATCCAGCTGCTGCCAAAGCAGGTCGAGGCCTTGGCTGGCCAGCGTGTCGTCACTGTGTCGGCGGGAACCGACCACAGCCTCGCCATCACCGCCGACGGCGCCGTCTGGAGCTGGGGCGGTGCAGGCTTTGACAAGCTGGGACACGGCGACCGGCAGAGCCAGCTGCTGCCCAAGAAGATCGAGGCCTTCGCTGGCCAGCGCGTCGTCGCTGTGTCGGCTGGAAGCAGCCACAGTCTCGCCATCACCGCCGACGGCGCCTTCTTTACCTGGGGCAAGGGCGAGGACGGCTGCCTAGGCCACGGAGAGGACCTGTCGAACCAGCTGCTGCCCAAGAAGATCGAGGCATGGGGTCTGGGGCAGTGAGGAGGACGACCCCGGGCGCAAGTTTGTCCCATGCTCAGCCGGACGGTGCCGTTCCGAAGGTGCCGAAGCGGCCCGCAGCGTCCTGGCATGCACACGCCGTGGCGGCTCGCTTCGCTACTTCGCATCGCCGTTCGGTTGTCGAGTGTCTGGCACCTCCATCATGTGAACACACGAGATTATAGATAGCTGGCGCGTGGGGTGTGTGGCACGCAGACTGTGGGCCCCCGGGGGCGTGTCCCAGTCCGGTCTCTCTGCGTATGTGACTTGTGAGCGCATGGTCGCACCTTGGTACAAAAAATAGGACTGATACAAGTGTCTCGTAACATGCCGTGTACCGAAAACCCCGCGAGAACCATATGGCGCCGCGACCCGAGCCGCCTCGCCCCGGCACGCGGCCCCTCCCCGCCCCTTCTGCCGCCCCGTCCCGGCCCGGCCGGCTGGCGGTGCTCGAGCCGGGAGGAGCCATCACCGCTGCAGGCGCGGCTGCGACCGTGGGAGCGGCAATCGGCACAGCGCCCGCGGCTGTCCCCGCCGCGGGGGCTGGCGCCGGAGGGGCTGGCGCCGGAGGGGCAGGCGCCGCTCCGCGCCTCGCCGCTCGCCATGCGGCTGCCGCTTGTGCGATAGGCGGGAGGCGGAGGCGGAGGCGGAGGCGGAGGCGGAGGCGGAGGCGGGAGGCGGGAGGCGGGAGGCGGAGGCGGAGGCGCTTGACGGAGACGCACCCTTCTCCGGAGAGGGAGCTGCTCCCTTGCAGAGCAGCCTCGCTAGGCGGGCGCGCATCAGCTCGCAAGGCTGGCAGACGAAGCGGGCGGCCAGCGCCTCCATGTCGGCTGCCGCGGCGCCGCCGTCGTCGTCGTCACCGCCGCCGACCGAGCCGTTGGCGTCTGCAGCGGCTGCGGCGGCACTTGGGGCGCCCTCCTCTGCGCTGCTGGCCTCCTCGGCGTTCCCCGCGTCGCACCCGCCCGGAGGAGCGTGGTACCACTTGCTGCAGAGCAGGCAGCGGAGCAGCTCACCGTCACCGCCGCCGCACGCGCCACACACCGGCACAGGAAGCAGGGGGAGCAGGGCGGGCCCGCCCTCGCCGCTCGCCGCCTCGCTGCCGCCTCCCTCCCCCTGCTCGCCACCGTCGCCGTCAGCTCCCTCCGGCTGCTCCTGCGCCCGCACGCTCGGCGCCTCCTCCACCAACGAGCCGCTCGCATCGAGCTCCACCGCCACCGCCGCCGTGTGGTCGTACACGAGGTAGCTCTTGTCGGCAGCGCGCAGCGACTGCAGCAGGCTGCGCGCCAGCCCGCCGCGGTCCGAGAGGCGCTGCCGCCGCCAAAAGGCCATCGCGATCGGGCCGATGTCGGACTGGGTCAGCAGCAGAGCGGGCGGGCCGGGCGCCCCCGCTCGGCGAGCAGCCGCGCCACCCGCTTCAAGGCGTTGACGACCCTCGTGCCGTGGCCGTGGCCGCACACTCCGGGGCGCTGGCCAACCACGATCAGAAGCTCCTCGAGCACGATGCGCCGGCCGGGCGCGAGGCCGCCGTTTGGACCAACAAGCTGCTGCTGCCGCCGCCCGCCCGCCTCTCCGCGCACCCAGTAGGCACGGAACGTGGCGCCGCCGAGCAGAGCGCCGTCGGCGCGTCTGCAGAGCCCGAGCGTCGCATTGTGCTTGTGTCGGTAGATGAGGTTGTGCAGATGCGAGCGCTCCCGCAGCGCCGGCAGCAGCTCGTCGCAGAGGCACTTGTACTGCCGCAGCCAGCGGAGCTGCTTTGCCGCGCCACCGCCGAGAGCCGGGGCGCAGTGCACGAGCTCGACCGGCGATGAGGCCTCATGGTTGACCTGCCGACGGCACGGGGAACGAAGCACCGTAAGCATTCGGGCAGAGCGTGTGGGGTTGGCGGTGTGGCCAGTTGATCCCGCGACGATGAGGTTGGCTCCCGCGGCCGCCGCCGCGTCGATGGTCGAAGGGCCGAGGCCGCCGTCCACCTGGATGTCGAGGTCCGGGTGCTCGCTGCGCAGCGCGAGGACCTTGGGCATGCAGTTGGGCATGAACTTCTGCCCGCCGAAGCCCGGCTCCACCGTCATCACCAGCACCATGTCGACGAGCGCGACGACGGCGGAGAGCGCCTCGACCGCGGTGCCGGGCTTGATGGCGACGCCGACCTGCATGCCGTGGTCGCGGATGAGCTTGACGACGCCCGCCACGTCGAGCTCGTCCTCCTCCACCGCCTCCAGGTGGAACGTGTAGCGTGCTCCCGCGCCCTTGGTCGAGCCGGCCACCGCCTCGACCCACTGCGACGGTCGCGAGACCATCATGTGGCAGTCGAGGTACGCGTCGGGCACGTGCTTGCGCAGGCTGGCCACCACCGGGTGCGCAAACGACATGTTGGGCACAAAGTGCCCGTCCATCACGTCGAGGTGCAGCTCGTCCGCTCCCGCCGCCAGCACGCTCTTCGCCTCTGAGGCGAGATCGGCGAGATCGCAGGCGAGCATGCTCGGCTGGATCTTGCAACACCGCTTGTGCGGCGGGCACTGGCACTGCCACTGGCCGTTTAAGGGGACTGCCATTTGCCGTTGAGAGGTCTTGCGGTGCAGCGTGACTTGCCGGCAGCGCCGGCGGCGGGAGGACGAGCTCACAACCACCTACGCAACAGCAGGAAGAGAATCTTACAACTCTGGGCACGGGACTGGCGCGCACTGGCACTAACACAGGAAGAGAAAGCGGGCGTCACAAGTACACAACGCACCGTCCTTTAATCCCTCCCTGGGGTTGTCCGTTCTCTTTTCTTTTTTCTCTCACACAGAAACACAACCCCGGACCCAAGACGTACAAGCACAGACAGTCTCTCACATGACAAGCGATCCCACGACAGCGACTGTGGGGACTACATGATCCGTACATGAAGGGTGGGAGGGGCCCGTCCGCAGAGCTAGGCGGCGCGGGCACCCACTGGGGCCGAGGACAAGAGGCCGTTTGCCGCTTGCTTGTTCTTTTGCTTGTTGATCCAGTTGGTACGCTCCTTGCGCGCCTGCTACCTTGTAGAAACCCCTTTTCACGCCTTTCTTGTGTTTCTTTGTTTCTTTTCTTTTCCCACCCCTCGTTTCGCGTGTGCGACTTTATTTGTAGGTGCCGCTGCGGTGGACCTTCCCACCTCCCTCCCTGCTTGCTCCTCCCTCCACCGTCGCCCCGCTTTGTTTCTTTTGCAAAATTCCACGCCTCGGTCCTCAAAAGTCAAAACGACACCACACACGACGCTGTTGTGTACAGCTGGGACTGCGATTCGAACGAGGATTGCGTCTCGGGCACCTGCATCCTGCAAGCTAGAAGGCGGTGAGTGGTGCAGCACCGACACGGCCTGCTATGCCGGCAACTGCCGCGGGAATCGCTGCTGCAAGTCAGGCATCTCGGATCTATGCGCCGAGTGCAACACGAACATGGCTACTGCGGGGTGTGCTCCGGCGCATACTATCCGGATGGAAATTACGAACTCGATTGCACTGCCAAGGAACTCCCCGGCCGGCACGTATTGCGGCTCCAACCCATCAGTGTGCCTGCCTGAGCGACATGTGCAACTGCGTGCGACTCCAGCGGCGCGCCAGATGGGTACACCTCCTCGTATGCCGACATGTCACATGAAATAGAATTCGCGGCCTGTTGCGTTGTTTCATAACAAATGCTCCCTTGGGGGGATTTTTAGCAATACCAAACAACTCTATTGCTCCCTTGGCAAGCTGTTTGTTTTCTTTCTTTAACATCGAAGGTCAAAAAGAATTTTAAACCCCCTGGACGACAGGCGCGGACTGGCACGTGCTGGAATACGAAACGGGACTTTACATTGGCTTAGTTTTTCTTTTTACACGCGTGGCGTTTTCATTTTCTCTCGAGCGTGACAGCCTAATCGAAAAACCCAAGCGTGAGCGGCTGTTGAGCAGAGCCGCTGTTGAGCAGAGCCGCTGTTGAGCAGAGCCGCTGTTGAGCACATCGCTGCGCCACCACTGTGGAGAGCCGACGCCCAAGGAGTAGTACGTGATGCCGAAGAGCGGCGCTACCGCAACCTCCGTAAGCACTCGAGCTCTTGCGTGGGGCAAGCCTCGGGGCGCGAGAGCGGCTGATCTCTCCGCCGCGGCCGCAGAGCAAGAGGACGGTCCCCAGGACGATTTAGCAGGTCGTCCAGCTGCCTTCGCCGCCCGCCAGCCGCCAGCACCACCTCTCCCACCGCCCCGTCCCACGCGCTCCGTGTTGGTAGCGCTCTCTTGCACGCCCCGTCGCCATCCGATGCCTACTCACGGTCGCGCTCTCCCCGGTGCAGGAAATGCTCAAGTGGGTTACCCCGCCTCCCAGAACAACGAGACGGAGCTGCGCAAGCTCAGGAACGAGATCCAGTCGCTCAAGGACGAGATCCAGTCACTCAAGCAGGGCGAGATCCAGTCGCTCAAGCAGGGCGAGATCCAGTCGCTCAAGGACCAGCTCAACAACCTCAGCACGCCGAGCGCCACCGTCCTTTCGTGCGACGGCAAGGCCGACGCATTCCCCGCACCGCCGCCTACGCCACCGCCACCGCCCCCACCCACACACCGCCGCCGCATGATCCGCCGCCGCCTCCCTCTCCTCCGCCGCCGCGTCCGCGTCCCCGTCCTCCCGTCCCCTCTCCTTCCGTCCCCGTCGGCGCGACCCTCCCCGCCGCCTTACCCCCTCCCTCCCTCTGCTCCTCTCAGGTCGACGCGGAGCCCGCCGCAGAGTGGGGCATCGCTGGCTGGGTGGACTCCCTCGCCCTCACCAAGGTGGTGGCCGAGGGGCTGAAAGAGCCGGCCGGCACCGACCCGTTCGAGTACGTGTGCAGCCTCTCGCTCGCCGACCTCGAGGGGAAGCTCGAGGCGGTGAAGCTGAGTGGACTCGCTGCGCCCCTCTGGTCCGCCGTTGAGAAGCTGCGCGACCAAAGCGCCGCGACCGGGGCGGCGCTGAACGCCAAGTTCGCTGCGGAGGGCGACGCGTTCAAGGGTGAGATGGGCTTTGGCGGCGTCGAGCAGTTCTATGGAGGCGTGCTGCGCGCCATTAGCTTGCCTTACCCCACCCGCCCTCTCTCTCCGGCCGACCCCCCTCCCCTGACCTGTGAGCAGGCCTCGAGAAGATCATCGGGGCGCCGCTCATGGTGGAGGGCTCGCTCCTCAAGGCCATGGAGACGGAGCACTGCAAAGAGAAGGATGCGGACGTGCCGTTCGACACGTCCAACGGCATCGAGGGCGTATCCTCCCGGCTGGAGTGGGAGTTCGTGGTCGCGCCCGTGATCGAGGACGGCCGCTACGCGGAGCGCGGCGGCGACTTCCGCACGGTCCACCCCGACTGGTGCCGCAAGCCGGAGCCGCTCTCGGTCTACGAGGCGAAGATGGCGGACGAGGTGAACCCGAGGCTCGTCGAGGCGGGGCAGGCGCCGCTCACGTTGGAGGAGCTCGTCGCCGGCCGGATCTACACGGGGCCGATGTACGAGAAGTACAACGGCGTCCTCCGCTTCTTCTCGGCACGCGATGCCGACGGCGCGGTGCTGCTGGAGTACGCCTCGGTGGACGAGGTGCCCTTTCTGCAGAAGAAGTGCGGCTGGCTTCACCTCGGCGAGTGGGCTGCGACGGCGGCGGGCAAGGGCGAGCCGGGCGCGGTGCGCTGGACGTGGCACAACCAGTACTCGACCACCATCCACGCGATCAACTCGATCATTGTCAAGCTGTCGCCGCTGACCAGGATCACGCCGCTCTACCGCGGCTGGACGGGCGCCACGCTCCCGGAAGCCTTCTTCAAGCCGGACGCGCTCGGCTTCCGCGGCGGCGTCGAGTACGGCTTCTCGTCGACCACCACCGACCGCGCGCAGGCGGTGCAGTACGCGGCGGGCAAGGCGTCGACGGTGCTCGAGCTCGTGATGGGCATGATCGACCGAGGCGCCGACATCTCGTGGCTCTCGCAGTACCCGCACGAGAGGGAGACGCTGCTGCCGCCGCTCATGGGCCTGCAGGTGCGTCAACCTCCGACCCCCCCCGCCCCCTCTCAGTCCTGCTCTCATCGCCTCATCCCCCTTCCCGACACCTGCAGGTGCGTTCGACGGGCGTGGAGGGCAGCACGCTCGTCGTGCAGTGCAGCTTCTCCATCAGCATGGCCTCGCTCACGCTCGAGCAGGTGGCGGGCAAGCGCAAGAAGCTGCTCACCGACATGGGCTCGCAGATGGCGGCGGAGGTGCGTCGCGGGGTGGCGGAGGGGGCAGCGGAGGAGGCGTTGCAACTAGTGCGCGTCCACCTCGGCCTCGAGCGGTGTGCGGACGCTGGGGGCGCAGCGGACAAGCGGCTCGAGGCGCCGCTCGGCGACGAGGCTGAGGAGTACAACTCTGACGCGCGCTTCCAAGCGGCGGTGGGCGACGCGCTCAAGGTGAAGCGCGCGGCGATGCTCGCGGCGACGATGCACCGCGGCGCCGGCGGGCTTGCCGCGGCGATGAATGCGGTATTGCCGCTGCAGGCCAGCCGCGTCGATTTGACGGGGCTCGACCTTGGCAGCGACGATGGCGTAATGGTGGGAACAATGGTCGCGTGGATGAAGTCGGAGCCGTCGGCGCTGACGTCGCTGACGCTTGACTGGGGCGTGGCATGCGGCCGCGTGCGGGAGGCGGTGCTCAGCGTGGTGCGGACGACGCGCACGCTCGTGGCGCTGAGCGTGGGCGAGAAGGGGGCGATGCCGCTCAACCCGCTGCAGCTCACTGGGCGCGAGGCGCTGACGTCGCTTGTTTTGTCGAGCAGGGGCCTCGGACCCGGATCGGCTGCCGTCGTCGCGGCGGGTCTCTCGGTCAATGAGGTGCTGACCTCCTTGAACATGGAAGGCAACGAGATCGGCCCCACCGGCGCGACTGCGATCGCCGAGGCGCTGCGGGGCAACGAGGTGCTGACCAATCTCGAAGTGCGTCGCAACGAGATCTCGGGAGACGCCGCGCAGCAGCTCGCGACAGCTGTGCTCGCCAGCCCATCGCTCGAGCTCTTCGGCTCGGTGCCGCTGAAGAAGCTGCGCGCAAACACACTCGGCAAGAGGCTAGGTTTGAGCGGCAAGGACCTCGGGGTGCCAGAGGCCCTTGTGCTGGCCAAGCTGGTCGAGGGCAGCGAGGTGCTGACCAAGCTGAACCTCGACGACTGCGAGCTCGACCTGCCAAAGCTTCGCGGCACCGACCCGGCGACATCGCTCGACCTCTCCAACTCGGGCTTCTCAGGCCTCGGGCCCGCCGCTGCCGTCGTGATCGCGTCGCTGATTGCGGGCAACGGGGTGCTGAAAAATCTCTACCTCAACAACGACGCGATCGGCGGCGAGGGCGCCAAGGCGCTGGCCTCCGCTCTGCGCGTCAACGGGGTGCTGAGGGCGCTCTGCCTCCACGGCAACAGCATCGGCGACGCAGGCGCCGTCGCGATAGCCGAGGCACTGCGCGTCAACGGGGTGCTGACCAACCTCAACCTCGGCTGGAACCATATCGGCGCCCAGGGCGCCACTGCGATCGCCGAGGCGCTACGAGGCAACGCGGTGCTGAAAACCCTCGACCTCCACTATAACAACATCGGCGGCGAGGGCGCCGTCGCGATCGCCGACGCCCTTCGCGTCAACGCGGCGCTGACCGCGCTCGACCTCTCGGACAACTCCGCGCTCTGCGGGGTCAGGTACGGGCGGGGCAGCTACGACGCTTCCGGCATCCAAGCACTTGCAGAGGCCTTGAAGGTCAATAAGGTGCTGATGAGCATCGACCTCCGCGGCATCAGTTTGGGCGATGAGGGTATATGGGTTCCATCTCTTGGGAGGAAAGCGATTCACGATGCGGTGAGCGGGCGTGAAGGGTTCCATCTCTATATGGATGCCCGATGGCCGTCGGCGCTGAAGCTTGCCTGGGAAAAGGCGTGCGACGGCGTGCAGGAGGCAACGCTGCGCTGCTTATTGTCTCTGCATTCGACTCTCGTGTCACACGAGCACACCCCGTAACACTGGATAGTATACGCCGTAGGCGTAGCGCGCGCGCGTAGGGGGAGATAGATAGAAGCATAGAACAAATCAGTGCCCGCATGGAAAAGCTTGTGAAACTCAGACCCCACCACCACACCGCAAAAAATACTGACACCAGCGCGATCACGGAGCTAGGGAAGAGCCGTGGAGTGGTACGCTCCCCCAGGGGTGGCCTGCGGGTGGGGGAGGGTACCCGGAGGCGCGGCGAGCCGCGAGAGCGCCGGGAGAGCCTTCCTAGAGTATGCCTGGCAGACGAGGTCGCCGAAGCTGCGCCCTGATCGCGCTCGCCGCGCCGTCTGCGAGCGCCTGGACGGGCTGCTGGCCGGCGCGCGGACGCGTCGAGCCGCGCGTCGCGTCGGATGCTCGGATGGTGCTCGCGATGCGACCGTCGGCGCCTGCGGCGCTCGGGTCGTCCGGGGCGGACGTGGCGGAGGGCGAGAAGGTGGGCGTGCTGCTGCTGAACCTGGGCGGGCCGGACACGCTCGACCAGGTCGAGCCGTTCCTATACAACCTCTTCTCCGACCCGGAGATCATCACCCTGCCGGGCGCGGTGCGGTGGCTCAACGGGCCGCTCGCGTGGAGACCTGGTCGACCGCCGCTTCCAGCGGTGCGGCGGCGATACCGACCACTTTGGCCGTGGCCATCGCATACGGTTACCTGCTTCGGCGAGCGTCGTCGTCGATAGATCCAAAGAGACTCGATACGACGACAGGTGGGCTCTGGATCCCTACGCCGGCCTCCCAGCTTCGGTGGCCGGCGTCACGCTGCGAAAACAAAGAAACAGCGCACAAGGCACTGTACCCTCACAGCTCACAGCTCACTAACAAGCGGCAAGTAGTACCGGGCTCTCACGGCACACAGGACACCCAGGTGATGCAATACAAGAGAACGAACACGTGCACACGGCGCAGAAAGATACGTCCGCTGTGGCGGTACAACGTTGTACAGGGTGCGGTTTGGCCATGGGTTTTGGCACAGCAAGAGGAGAGCGGAACGGGCACCGAGGCCCACCCCCCGCACCCTCACTTGTCGTAGACGGTGTGGACGGCTATGATGGGCCCCTTACCGCGGCAGGAGCGCAGGATGTTGATCACCTTGATCATCCCCTCGGGGATCTGCTCGTGCGACCAGCCGGCCGGTACGATAAACGTGATCTTGCCCCCTCCGCCGCCAAACGTGAAGGACATCATCGGCCCCGGCTGCGGCTTCGCGTTCATCTCCGTGTCGCTCGAGAGAGGGCTCAAGCTCAGGAACACGGCACCCTCCGCCGGCGCCGCCGACGCACACCTCGCGCGCAAGAGAGAATATATTGTGACACAAGGTCCTCGCGGCGGCGGCGGGGCCGGCAGCGGCGGTGGCACAGAGGAAGACACCGTTTGCAGAGGAAAGCTCCGTCGAACCGTGCCACCATCAGCTGTCGCGCCAGCACGTCGTCGACGTCGTACAGCTCCTCGTACATCATGCCGGCCGCGCCGCTGACCTAACCACGACGTGGTGGAGGTGGGTTGAGCGGTGGTGCGATGGCGGCGGTCGGCGTGATGGGTGACGGATTAGCAGCAAACCTCGCTCACCATTGCGTCGAACGAGGCCGGCTCCAAGTGGCGGAGGCCGAGGTACTCAAACACCAAGGCCCCACTTTCGGCCCACGCCTTGGGCGAGTCGGTCACGACGACCGAGCCTTTGGGCACCAATGCTGCAACAGAATCGTCGAACTTGGCGGAATAGGCGTAGACGCTCGGCTGCGCTTCGGCCGCGTAGCGCGGGCCTGAGCCCGTAAGCAGCTCTATGATTGGCGCCCCGCTCTCGCCGGTAATCGCACCCTTGGTGAAAATCAGCGAGGGCATGGCAAGTGGCGCGAATGGATGGGGTACAGGATGTTCGATGTGTCATTCGCGGCGGCGGCGCGCGAAATCAGTGTTGTTTTTCTTTTTCTCAGCACTCGTGAGCAGCTCGAGCTGAACGGAACATGAAGCCTGAACGCTGAAAAACCTGAATGGGGAAGCAAAACCCAAAAACGAATTCGGGTTTCGGGCGCGATTCGCGCGTCTTGTGACAATGTAAGCCGTCCAGCGAGCAGCGTCCTTATCACACACACACTCAGACCAATAACTTCACAGAGACCTCACACGTAAAGGGGAAGACATGCGCGCGGGGGGAGGCGGGGCGGGGGTGACTCTGGGTGCGAGGAGCCTGCGCCTCTTCTAGAGGTTGCGTGCGCGCCTGGCGGAGCGCGCGCTTCCACACCCCTCCACGGCGAGCCGCCGTGCTGCACGGAGGGGGGGAGGGGTGGGCGGGGGGCATTTGCGCGCACGGGCGCGAGCCCTCAATAAGTCTGCGTCAGTCGTCGATCGTCATCGTCATCACGCGCGAGCGGGGCCGCCCGGCCGCGGGCGTGACCCCGTCGGACAAGCGGCCGCTCGAGCCGCCCTGCGAGGCGAGCGAGGCGCGCTCCGCCGCCTCGGTGACGCGGTCGCGCTCGGTCCGCTCCGAGTCGGTCGACTCGTGCCGCGCGGCGGAACAGGGTGGCGGGAGGGGCGGGAGGGTGGGCTCGTCTGTCGTCGAGCGGCTTCTCGACGGCGACTTCTTGGGCGGGTCAGCGCCACCCGTCGCATTGGCGCCGGCAGCGAGACCACCACCCGTGGCGACGGCGGCGGCAGCGGCGGCGGCGGCCCTGGCGCTAGCGGTTGCCCGCGAGGAGGATGCGCTCGCACTCGTGCGGCGATGCCACCATGCCGTCTCACTCGACCGTACCGCAGCGGCGATGCCGACGGAGGCGCGGGCGAGAGTGCTGCCCACCCTCATGACGGCAATCGCGTCCAGGGAGATGCTTGTGCCGCTCGTCCGCAACGGAGTGCTCTCGATGCTGCGCCGCTGGCTGGCGGTTCGCCCCGCCGCCGGCTCCTCTCCCGAGCAGCATCGCAAGATGCAGCTGCGGCGATGGCCGTGTGCGAGAGGCGGTGGCTGACATATAGGGTGCAAGACTTGTCCATGGTAGCGTACACGTTGGAGCTGCCATGGTGGTCGACGCTGTCATGTCGCTGGTGGTGTCGGCCTCGGCGATGCAATAGTCGAGGCCATACTGGCCGGAGGATAAGCCACACTTCCTCCTCTGTCGCGACGTTCTCTTCTGCCTCGTCCTGCGACGCCGCCGCCTGCCGGTCCCTTGTTCTCGCGGCTTCTTTCGCCTTTGGCGCAACTCCGTCCTCCTCGCGGCGTATCCTGGCCCCTCGAGTCTATCAAGCTCTCCTCGCGCAAGGACCACATTTCTGACTCCCACTCCGATCATTTGCCTCCAAGTCATGTCGTTGCTCAGGTCCACTCTCTCTTCGAACACTCGTGCCTCTACGGATGATGGCGGGCCAATTTCTTTTTCTCGCGATGTCCACCCCGCCGCGCCGCCGCTCGCGCCGCCTCGCCTCCGCCTCCACCGCCGCGCCCTCGCCAGACACGCCGCCGCCCGCCCGCCTCCTCGACCTCCCCAGGGAGCTCCTCGAGCGCGCCCTCTCCCGCTGCGACCTCCCCGTCGACATCGCTCGCGCCGCGGCCGTCTCGCTCCTCTTTCACTCGCTCGCGGAGCAGGGCATCCGCTTGTGGGCGCAAGAGCGCGGCTTCGAGCTGCTGGCGCAGCCCGAGGGCGAGAGCTGCGCCGTGCGGTGGCTGTGCTATTCTGCGCTGCTGCGCGAGGCCAACCCGCCGGCGAGGGCGGCCGCAGGCCACTACCACAGCCTCTTCATTGACGGCGAGGGGCGGCTCTCGTCGTGCGGCTATGCGCCGGATCACGCCCTCCTCGGTCACGGCGAGGGCGTGACGCGGCTCAACACGCCGACCCGCCTCTCCTCTTCGCTGGGCGAGGAGCGTGCCGTGAGTGTGTCGGTTGGGTATTACCACAGCCTCGCCCTGACCGCCGACGGCGCCGTCTGGAGCTGGGGCTTGGGAGGCGACGGCCGGTTGGGCCACGGCGACGGGCAGAGCCAGCTGCTGCCGAAGAAGATCGAGGCCTTGGCTGGGCGGCGCGTCATCGCTGTGTCCGCTGGAGGGGCGCACAGCCTCGTCATCACCACCGATGGCTCCGTCTGGAGCTGGGGCTATGGAGGGCAAGGCCGGCTGGGCCACGGCGACCGGCAGCGCCAGCTGCTGCCGAAGAAGATCGAGGCCTTTGCTGGCCAGCGCGTCGTCGCTGTGTCGGCTGGAGGGGCGCACAGCCTCGCCATCACCGCCGACGGCGCCGTCTGGAGCTGGGGCGATGGAGACTATGGCAAGCTGGGCCACGGCGACCAGCAGCGCCAGCTGCTGCCCAAAAAGGTCGAGGCCTTTGCTGACCAGCGCGTCGTCGCTGTATCGGCTGGAGCCCACCACAGCCTCGTCACCGCCGACGGCAGCGTCTGGAGCTGGGGCTTTGGAGGCTTGGGCCAGCTGGGCCACTGCGACCAGCAGATCCAGCTGCTGCCCAAGAAGATCGAGGCCTTCGCTGGGCGGTGCGTCGCCGCTGTGTCGGCAGGAGTCTTCCACAGCCTCGCCCTCACCGCTGACGGCGCCGCCTGGAGCTGGGGCAAAGGCGAGGAAGGCCGGTTGGGCCACGGCGACGACCAGCGGCAGCTGCTGCCGAAGAAGGTCGAGGCCTTCGCTGGTCAGTGCGTCGTCGCTGTCTCGGCTGGAGTCTACCACAGCCTCGCCGTCACCGCCGACGGCGCCGTGTTTACCTGGGGCAAGGGCGAGGACGGCTGTCTGGGCCACGGGGAGGACCTGTCGAACCAGCTGCTGCCCAAGAAGGTCGAGGAGTGGGCGCCGGGGCAGTGATGAGAAGGGGCGAAAGGGTGCAAGGCTCTGTGTTGCCGCGCGTGCCTGTTCGCCACCTGCGAACGTTTCCGAGAGTGGCGAGAGGCGAGTCTGGGACAAAAGAGTTTTCTGCATGGTCCTTGTCGTGTTGGGGGTGAACGCCTTGGGCCCTGTTCACGCGCGCGCGAGACGTGCAGACAGTTTGTTAAGTTGAGTGCTCGCTCGCTGCTTGCACCTGCAGAGAGGGCCAGAGGCTAAGTAAGTGTAGAGCGACCCTCTATCTAGCTCTACTACCCAACCATTGGCTTCGACCGCACTCAACGCCTCCGAGCGGTTGCCCTCGCCCAGCATGGAGAAGGCGCTCATCTTCAGACGTCGCACGAGGGCTGGAGCGCTCGGGCGAGAGTTCTGAGAAGGGACAGCCTGCATCCGCCACAGGCACGCCGTTCCTCCAAAATCCGGAATCGCCCTTCGCCCCGCTGTGTCGGCCCTGTTCACGCGCGCGCGAGACGTGCAGACAGGGTTGCCAGGTGAGAGCGAATGGCGCGGTTCACGCCTCGCACAACAGAGAGAGAGATGCGCTCTGCATGGTGGGACATAAAAGAGAGCGAGTACTTGGGCGAGTAGGCTGTGCGGTCAACGCTGCCGCGCGCGACTTTGCGCGCGAGGCGGCGCAGCTTGAGAACGGCGGTGGGCGAGAAGCCGCCGCCGAACGTCTCGTGGAGCAGCAGGTTGAAGTTGTTGCGCTTGACAAAGATCGCGTCGTGGTAGAAACCGCGATGCGCCTTGACGTAGCCGTGGCCGGTCTTGTGGGAGAAGGGTTGGCCGGGCTGCCCGCGCGCCTTGCAGCCCATGTTTAGGCGGCGGGCCTTCTCTTCGGTGTTAGAAAAGGCGTAGGAGTGGCCAACGGAGGCGGGCGTGCCGCCACTCGAGGCGTTGCCAACGCCCGGCGAGGAGGTCTTGAGGAGGGGCGTCCAGAGCTTGGTGTCATTTACTTCATCGCATCCTCCCGGGCCAGCGTGGGGTTCCGCGAGGTCGACCTTGTACCCCTCGTTGTACTGCCGGGTGAGCTCTGGTTTCTCCTTGTCGCCGTGCACGACCGGCGCGTTGGCCGGGGCGCGCATCGCGTCCGCCCAGGCGGCGAGGACGCCGTCGTGGGGCCGCCGGTGGTGGGCCTTGTTGTAAAGGTAGTCGCCGAAGAAATCGACTGGCATGCCCCGCTCGAGCGCGACCCGAAGGGTGGGAAGCGCCGCGGAGAGCCAAAGGCCGAGCTTCCGCTGGAGCTCGTCCTGGAGGGTGTCGGAGGGAGAGGGCGGTGGCGTACGTACCGTCGACACGGACATCGAAGGCCTTGCCGGCGAAAGGCGTTGAGGCGGAGACGAAGCGCGCGGCTTCGCGGTTGTTGACGGCGCTGTCTCCGAGGGACGGGTTGTTCTTGACGTGCACATCCCGCGCCTTGACGAGCTCCTGGTGCGCGTACCAGTCCTTGTGATTCTTGATGGCAGCGAGCGCCCGCGGCCGCGGGTACGTGGATTTGCAAGTGCCATTGAGAATCGCGTCGGTAGCTGGAAGGGACTCGGGCTCGGGGAGCGGGACGCTCTTGGGGTAGAACTCAGTCAGGTAGCCGCCGCGGACGGTGTGGTACTTGTTTTTGTCGCGGGCGGTGCGCTTCTCGCACACCTCCTTCCAGTCCGAGAGGGCGGACTCGTAGGTGGCGATGGCTGCGGCGATGGTGGGGTACTTGGACGCACCTCCACACTGTAGCTTTTGGGGGCGGAAACACGTTTTAATTCACGCGAGGGCGCACGTGAGGCTTCTCGCGCGTATAACCGGTGTTCCCGAGTGTCGGAGACATGTACCCACAAGCCCATAAGCTTGGCTTACCTCGGCTCGTCGAACCGCGCACACACCTTGGTGCTTCGGGGCTCCTCGAGAGCACGTTGCGAGCGAGGGTTGGGGTGGGGGGTCTACAGGGGGTCGTGGGCGGAACCGGCATGGTTTTCCACCGCGTGCGACCCTAATCGTTGCATGCTCAAGCCGACAGCGTCTCTCTGCGCCGTGCATCAGAATGGGATTCATGCTTGTGTCTCGCCTCGCACTGCGCCGTGCTGACGGCGCCAAACTCCTGGGCGATTCCGTCGACTTTGGCCTTCGACGGCGAAGAGGGATGCACGGCGGTCTCACACGCCACAGTCGTGGGGAAAAAATCGCGCAATGCAGGCCACATGGGTTGCAGCGGCACGGTCCTTCCGGCCAAGTGCAGGGCCGCGCTGGAGGGTTGCGCCCGCCGCGAAGTTGTGTGATCTAAGTGGGTTTGCCCCCCCCCCCCCCTCTCATCCAACCACCTCCGGATCCGGCATTCACGTGGCTTGAACACCGCGTGCGGGGTTTTGTAGGAGTATAAAAAAACGCCCCGACTAAATGGAGCAAATACCCGGGAGGAAAACCCCCACCACCGTTTGCGGACAGACACAGACCGACCGACAGAGCAGGCGGCACGGGCCTGTGGGGGGGGGGGGGGGGTAAACCGAAGGGGGGAAGGGGGGTGGGGGGCCAGTACAGCGGCGAGGCACGATCGCCGGCGGCAGCAGCGAGGGCGGCAGGGCGGCAGGGCGGCGACGGCGGTGGAGAGGGCAGTGAGGCTGAGGGAGTCGAGGGACGGACCCGTCAGAGCCAGCAGCGGCGCCATCGGCGGTCTCGGCGGCCCTTGCCGAGCGCGCCGTTCCGGTGCGGCTGCGCCTGGTGCGAGGCGAACCCGCACGCCAACATGTAACCGGCTCCGGAGTGAGGCGATCAGTCCTTTGGGCTGTCTCAGTCAGCAGTCATACCGTAATCGCATCCGTCATGCAATGTGATCTACCCTATCTCGGCTGCCCCGGCCTCGTCCGACCTTCCAGGCTAATCTCGCCTCGCCTCGCCTGATCTCGGCCAACCTCTACTCGGCTCCCACCTGCCCAGGGGACGATTCTGACTCTGTACGCGCGCGCTCCTCTCCTCTGTGTGTGGACTCTCTGTGTGTGCGCGCTCCACACCCGCACCCCCTCACCCCCCCAGTGTTGTGCGCGCGACAGAAGTGTCCCTCGCTCAAACGGAGATCGCCTTTATAACACTGTACGAGCCGGCGTCTACCACGGCGCGTGTACTCTCACGGTTGGCCGTCGCCGCACACCACGCGACGACACACGGACTGGGACCACCAGTCGCAACCAACCAGTGGGGGCCTCGCGCAAAGCGCGGGAGAGCTGTGGCTCGGGGTCAGACAGCGCGCCTCTCCGCCGGAAAGGTGCTCTCCCGTGTCCACTGTGATCATCTCGACCACGGCTGCAGCCCACGCCGACTAAAAATCTGGGTGCGAGGGGAGGGGGCAGTACATGCACGTAAGCGGCTTTGGGGCGAGATGCGGGCCGCCGGGTGGGTGATTGGGGGGTCTGTAGGGCGAGGTGAGTGCTTACCGCGGGATATATTGTTGATTGGGTGCGAACGACTACCGCGAACACGAAGATAGGGGTGTGCGACGCGCACCTGATTTTAGCTGCGCGTGGCAATCCGGCGCCAGTTTTAGAGGGCCTCGAGCCGTGGTGGCTCCGTCCGGAAGGCGCCTCGAGGCTCCGGATCGGTTTGCGAGGCCGGAGTGATGGCAGACCTGCAATCACCTATCGCGGATTGGCTCCTCGCATCCCCTTGGGCGCGCACGCGGCGGCAGAAGCGAAGAGGCGAGGGGCGACCGCCACACTGGGAGCGGACCGTTTCTTAACCGGAAAATCCGACCCCCGAAAGCTACACTGTGCCTCGTCGAGGGCGAAGTCGGGGTTGTGGGCGACGAGGGTGCGCCAGTTCTTGAGGAGCGACATGGAGAAGTCGCTGTCGGCTCGCGTGAAGGCGGTGTCGATGTTGCACCCGCCCATCTCGGTCGGCAGCTGCGCCTGGAGCCACGCGAGGTCGCGGAGCGCCTGGGGCGAGGCGTCGGCGCGAGCAATGCCCTCAAAGGACTTGCGGATGCGGTTGTGCTGCGCAAAAACTCGAGAGCCTCGCACGCGACATTGGGCGGCGTGATGCCGGCAATGTACTTGGTCTTTGCGCAGGCAATCCGTTGGACGAGGTTGAGCGGAGCTGCGAGGTGTTCGTGACGCAGTCAGTGTCGACGATCGTGTCGATGACGTCGAGCGGCGCGAGCTTCTTCCTGAGGTGCGCGGTGAGCTCCTTTTTGCAGGCTTCAGGGTCGCCAAAGAAGGTGCCGACGGCCTTGAAGCAGTCCACTCGTCCCGTGGGTTTGCCCTCCTTGTCGCGGTGCGCGGGCGAGCCCCGGACGGAGCCAGCCCGGCGCGCACTTTGTGTTTTGTTTAGCAGAGAGCTTACGTACGTTTAGCTTACTGCTCTCTTTCTCTCTTTGAGCTAGCCTTCGATGTTACAACAACAAAGTTGTTTGGTATTGCTAAAAATCTCTCTCGATCGATGAATGTTAGGAAACAAAGCAAGGCGGACATGGCTCCGGCCCCCAAGTCCGGCTCATGCGCCTGGCGGTGAACGAGCGGAGCGAAGTGAACCTCGGCGCCGAAGTGAACGAGCGGAGCGAAGTGAACCGCCGGGGCGGGCGCCTGGCGGCGCCGCAAGGCAAAAAAAAGCTTGCGTGTCGCCCCCAAGGCTGGCGAGGTACTCCCACGCCTCTCGGGGTTTTTGTCTGGCCGAGTTGTCTGGGCGAGCCTCGGCGAGACTGCGTCAGCTGTTCCCACAGCAGGCTGGAAGTACCTCGCCAGCCCCAAGGAGGTTTCCTGCCCCGCTGGCCCCGCAAGGGTGGCTTGAGGAGCTGATGCTGCAGCCCACGCGAAGCCTCCCGCTGATGCCGCAGCCCGTGGGTGTTGCCTATAGCACGGCGCGCCAAATCACGTGGTTCTGGGGCGGCGAGTCTGCACCCGCCGCGCCGCCAGAGCCGCCATCTCCGCCGCTGCCACCGTCGCCTCCGCCGCTGCCTCCCGCCGCTCCGCCGCCGCTCCCGCCGCTCCCGCCATCGCCTCCGCCTCCCTCACCGTCGCCGTCACCGCCTCCGAACCCGCCTCCGCCCATGCCACCGTCGCCTTCTCCTCCGCCGCCAGCTCCGCCGCCCTTCCCACCACCGCCGCCGCCAGATTTCGTGCACGTCGCAGTCTCTGTCGTTGCCACGCAGGCCGCACAGGCGAGCGACGGCATAATGAGATCCGCCCTGGTTCTCCTCCTCCTCTTTCTCTTCGCTGGCATCGTCCTTCAGCTCGTATGGCCATGCGTTGCCACGCCACACCGAGGTGCGAAGCTCCGTGCGTTCGAGCTGGACGACTTCGGCTCCCCACGCCGCAAGCGTGCCTGGAACGTTCCCGACTCGCCAGAGTCGCCGGCGGCTGACATCGTCATCGTTCAGGAGGGGGTCGCGCTGCATAGAGCCAGCACGGCCCCAGAGGGGCAGAATAGCTCCGGGCGGGTCACCTCGGCGCTGTCCGTCCGGCGATGGTCAGTGGCGGCCGCGACCGACAGCGGGAAGAGAACTGAGGAAGAGGAGGAGTTTGTGCGTGTCTAGGTTCTCTGCGCCTTTCGCGTTTTGCGTGCGTTTGCTTGTTTGACTATACGGGGTCCCAACTCTCGGCACAATCTCTCAAATCCGATCCGCGTATACGGGGTGTGGAGGGTGAGTTGACCAGGGGGTTGTGCGCCGGGCCCTCCTGCTCCGCCGCAGGCGCCTGTTGATAGGTCCATGTGATAGCCCTGGATGGGCAATGCATACGCCTCACTGGACCTCAGATCGCCCGACCGCGTCCCGGTGCTCTGCCGTCGGATTTGTGACGCCGCCGCACCGCGCCGCGGCCGGGGGCCCTCCGGAGGCCGAGGATGGCCGTGGCGGACCGGGACGAGCTCTGGGAGGGGGGGTGTCAGTGAGTATATTGTAGAGACTAACCATGTGCACAATAACTCTCAGTCTAGCTAAGCGAGGGGAGGCGATTCCGGGGCCGTACAGCAGCTTGACGTGCTTCGCCGGCGTGCGTCCCGGAGCGGTGCCGGAGCGCGGCGAAATCGGGGGACACCGTCACCGACGAGCGCGTTGTAGTATTCACTCCGGACAAAGACCGCTGCACAGCGGACGGTACGGGCCGTGCAGCGGTCATAGCGGCGAGGCGCGGGACCGTCTGTGGCGAAGTGGGTCGCGTCCCCCGATTTCGGTCAACCCAGCATCCACACCCTTTAGTAATATAAAAAGTCTCGATTCTCTCCCCTCTCCGCACTCCGGCGCGCTAACGAAATGATAATTAATAAAACGAGATCGCACGACGTCGCAATGTCGTGTTCGGTGCTCAGTGCAGAATCGAATTGCGGTTCGACCGCCGCGCCTCCCACCCCGCGCTGCGGTAGTCGGTGTACCTGCGCAGCGCGGCTGCAATCGGGTGGTCCGATCGCGCCGAGGCGTCGTCCTGCGGCAAGGACTGGCTCGCGTCGAGAGGCGTCGGCTTGTGCTCGCACGGCGACGGCCCCGCGCTCGGCGGCTCCGCGGCAGCTCGCACCCACTCGAGGAGTGCGCCTGCGGCCTGCGCCTCCGCCTCCTCCTCGGCGCGGCTCGTCCTCTCGTCAAAGCCAGAAAAAGGCGCCTCGCCGTCGCACGCGGCCTGCGCGCTCGCGAGCAGGCGCAAGTTGAGGTCGTCTTGGAAGGTCGAGCAGGGGAGGTCGTTCGGTGGGTAGAGGAAGGGCTCCTCCAAGTCGCGGGCGACCTGGTGGCACGAAGGCGGACCTAGTGGGCTTGACGCGTGGGCTCGCTGCGAGGGGGGCGGCAGGGGGGCGGGCAAGCTTTGCTGTGTCGAAAAAAGTCGGCCGAGGAGGCGTGTGTGTGGGGGGGGCACAGCAGCGAAAGGGGCCGCTTCGGCTGCAGACCTCGTTGAGGCCGTAGTAGCAGAGGATCGTGACGAAGCAGAGGGCCGGGCCGAGGGCGGGCGAGAGCAGCCGCCACCAGAACTCAATCCATGGCCCGTGGGCGATCTGCTGAAAGTGCCTGTCGATGTCGGAGCTCTCCGGGTCGCCGTCGTGGTGGTCGTGGCCTAGAAAGCTCCTCGAAGGTTCCTAGACACTCCCTAGGAGGAGCGGGTCGCCGTCGCGTGTGGTCGCGGCCTAGCTTAGAGACGGCCACGAGCGGCACGACGAACACCATCAGCGCGAGCATCACCGTCACCATCTGCGCGTAGGGGAAGGGGAAGGGCGTGTCCTCCACCTTGCGCGCCTGGTGGTAGCCGTGCATCCCCTGCCGTAGTAGCCGGGCGGCGGTGGAGTGGTGACGGTGGTGGCGGGGGCGGGGGCGGCGAGGGCGGCGGCCACGGCAGCGGTGGAGGGTGGTGACGGTGGTGG